TCGCTGCGTCTAGGGCCTATTACTATAACAAACTGAATCGAAAAGCACTTCATAAACTCATTTGAAGTCGCATCGAGTGAAAACTGACCTTAGAGAGAAGGGGTGGGGACAATCCAAGAAGCACTCGAGAAGAATTGAGAAGGGGTGGTGACAATCCAACACATCCCATAGGTGTGCCCCCGTCTATATGCTGTCTAAACACCCCAATATGGGAAAAGAATTGAATTTTAGAATTTTGCAAGTTGAGGTATGTAATGATTGTTTTCTGCTGTCAGCCAAACCTCCCAGAAATACTTTATTCCGAGGCGTTGCTTTTATTTAAACTTAACAGCTCCCGTTAAACTTTGTAGCTTGTATACTATAAGTATTTCTATTGACTCATCTCCTCCAAAAGAGATTGAAGAGATCCGCAGAGACGGTCTACCATATTTCTTTTAATAAACGCCGCTCTATGATGAACGCCGCTCTCTGATAAAGCCGTCCTCTTTTGGTAAACTTTGTACTTTGTAGAGAATACGAGCAAGATTTAATTAAAATTGTACTATATCCGTGAAAAATTATATGAATTCAGCCAAGCAATTGCCAGCAGACACAGGTAAGATTTCATTAAAACTTGAACTCAGTTATGTGGATTCAGCCAATTAAATGCCAGTTGGTTTCTACGAAAGACTATGTGAAAGTTGAATTTCGCAACAACTGCCTTCCGCCAGCTTGTCGTTTACTTTTCCTTCGTTATGGATTCCTAACAAGATGATATGTGATGGTTTTCACAGTTAGCAGCATGTGTCTCCTCCGTTTCTTATGCAACATCTGCAGAAAACCTTTTGATAACAGTGAAATCACTTTTAAGTACAGTAACCTTTTTGCAGCAATGCAGGTTCTGTGCAAGGTTATAGTTTCCTATATTTGGTTTTTCACTCTGAGTGAAGCTTGATACTTTAGAAGCCGGTCCCTTACACATATTTACAAGGCTATTTGAAGGCTCTTGCGCAACCGGCATGCTTAGCGGCAGCTGTCTTGAGAAATTGATTGTGTTTTGTATTCTCATGCAGTACGGTATTAGGCAAAGCATGCCGCTTGCGCAAGAGACTTCAAGAGATTGATTTTATTTTAATTCATGCTAAAGGCCCTGTAAATTCTACTGGTATGATATGAATTGCACATCATTTGGTTTTCTCCGTTGATTATGTCATCAACATACAAAAGGTGGCTGTACAGTTAAATACTACACTTGAATCTTCTTGCAAACCTTTTTGTAAAAATGTATAGAAACAAGCATAGTAGACTCGGATATATGTTTATAGAGAAGCGAAAGTAAATTTCCTCTCTATTGGTCTTTACAGGGCCGTCGCTAAGCACTTTCACTTGGGGGAGGGGGGGTGCCAGAAGAGGGCACTTGCGAGCGGAGCGAGCCGCAATTTTTTGCGACCACGACTTTTAGATTGTCTTAAAATGCATTTCAGAATATTTCTTGCAATCATCTATTGCAATCAATTTGCTTATGGACTAGGGCAGTCTTTACATGAATGGATGTTAATTACCAACAAGGAAACACCACTCAATAAATAAAAAACAATTAAAAAAACACAAACGCTGGATAGGTGCATATGACATTACACTGTTATTGCCACCTCAGGATGCAATGTTTGCTCATGAATGGCAATATTCGCCGAAATATCACAGGATTTTGCGACATATCACAGGATTTTCCAACATATCACAGGATTTTCCGACGGTATACCAGATTTGCCGACGTTAAACCAGGTTTGCCGACGGTAGACCAGATTTGCCGACAATATTTTTTCCAGGGGGGGGGGTGTGACACCCCCACGCCCCCTGTCTGTTCAAAATTGCTGGTGTAGGCGGGTAAAATATATGACTGGCAAATTATTTCATATTAACTTTGCAATGAGAACGAAATTTTCAAAGGCATATTGAAGTGCGGTCGGTAAACGGGCTCCTTGTTCACCGTCTATTGGTGATCAAAGCGTCTTGAAGCGAACCGAGTGTCCTTCGAATGATTCGCAATTTCTATATCTAGGCAATATATTTCAGTTTTTTGCAGCTATGTAAAGAAAAATTGTTTCTCGAGCATTATGATCTAACAGAGTTTGAAGTGTGCCGTCATAAAAATTTATTTCAGAATTTTTGTGTTTTGACCACAGAGCCCAAGAGAACACCATGAAATACTTGCATATGAAAAATCAGTTGAATATCTCAAAGATCGGGTGAGCTATGGCCAATAAAAGATTTGAAGTTTGCAATCTGATTGCTGTTATTTTGCCTCTGTTCATGAAGTTCTGAGCATAGACCAAATTACAGTGGTTTGGTCGTGAAAGCGCCTGCGCACATGTCGCCATATCTCAGCCAATTCTGATTTGGCAAATTAGAGATATTTCATGATGCTCTTGCAGATAATTCGAGGTAACTATGTATTACGTAAGCAAATGCCTAGAATGTTCTAAATACTACTAGGTTTCTCGGCAACAAACCTTCAAAAAAATACCCAGATGATCCAAATTATTCCAGCACTAAAGGTATGACCCACTATATGTGGTCTCTAAAATCTGTGTCCCTCTTGGGAACCAGGACTCTTCTGACGTATGTCGGCTTAGACGATATCTCCCCGCGCTCTTTGACATTCCGCAGTTTTAGATAATTTTAGATACTTTCTGAAAAGTCTCGTGGCATCCACGACAGCTTGTTTCGCCATTAGCTTATGTCTGCCTAGGTTATGACTTTGATTTCGTATTTGAAAATACATATTAAGAGAGCCAACCACCACTTTCCCAGGAGTATTAGACAAGACAATCTCTTTCCAGCCAAGTTGTGCAATTTCCAGTCATCTCTATTGAAGTCACAACTCTTGGCATTAGACATTAAACGTACAGTATAATCCGGTTATAACGTACTTTAAGGGACCAGTGTATTAAGTACGTTATATCCGAAGTACGTTGTAACGAGGGTAAGTAAAAATTGACTAAAACCAAGCACACCTTTTGCCGGGACCAGGCACACCAGTATGTTATGTCCGAAAGTACGTAATAACCGAGGACGTTATAACGGGATTCTACTGTAGCAGTATTAAGCAAAATAATCCATCTTTATGAATGTTGTGCAATTTCAAGTCAACTTTCAGCAACCAGATTCACTCACCCAGGATAATAGAAATCAAACCTCTTAGCATCAGACATCAGATACAATAGCATTAAGCAAAATAATTCGTCACTAGAAGAGTTGTGCAGTTTCCAGTCAACTGCGTAGAAAGCAATCGTAAAAATGGCTTTGAAAAAGTCATACTAAAGGTTTTCGTCTGAGATTCTTCAGAGTATAAAACATCAGAACATAGATCGAAACTTCTATGATAGAAAATATATATACCCAGTTGTGGATCGAAATAGGCCAAATACGACTAAAAGCACTTCTCTATGTACTCAATATTGTATAAAGACAAAAAGCAGGAAATTTCAATTTGAGGAAGAAATTTGTATTTGACAAAGGTTGTGCCAGGTTCTCTCGTGAGCCATTGTCGTTCTGGCTACGTAGGACGCATAACCCAAAGATTGGGTGATAGGATAAAACAACATGTGCCTTCCAACATAAGGAACAAATTGCCAATATTCAAAATTTTTTAATATTATTTTATTTACACGAGATACCTTTCAGCAAAAAAGAACTATTTACAATAAAGGAACTATTGAAAAAAGAACTATTTGCATATTGCTGCTCTACCAAGGGGTCGTGTTTGGGTCCTGTAGAAGGTTCGAAAGACACTTTCTAAAACCTGTTTAAAACGAGTGATGGATTCTTTGTCTCGAATGTTGTTAGGGATATCATTCCAGTTTTTGACACCAGAGAAGTAGAAACCTTGCTTTGCATACTTCAACCTAACTTTGGGGATTTGCAGGTCTCCACGGTTTCTGGTTCTATACTCTGAAATCGTGGATCTTTCAGTGAATTTTTGGCGAAGATTTTCGGGACAGAGGTCATGCAAGATTCTATATGTCATGACTCCTTGGTCAAAGAAGATCAGGGACTTAACAGTGAGCCCCTTTCAGAGAACAGCCTCCTCGAGGTTATAGGTAAATAACGCCCTTAAAACAAATGATTCTACCACCGGGAAAAAATTTTTAGGCAATCCAGATTGTGCCAAAAGCTTTAATCCAGATTAGGCAATCCAGTTGGCAGATCCCCGTCGTCTTTTTATCTAGCAGATTTCGAATCGATCGACATACAAACTATAAAGTGATAATATTCAATAGGCACGCGGTACTGATTGGGCAACTATACCGGTCATGTGCTTATTGGCGTATTTCGATTCACAGCTGGGTATATATTTTTTTTCTTGATCTTTCTGCCCTCATTTTGACGTTTTATTCTCTGAAGCGTATGAGACGAAAAATGTAAGCCATGTTGTAAAATGTCTGTTTTTTTAAAGCCATTTGTCAAATACTTGTTGTTTCAAAAATTTTGGCAGAAAAGGGTCTTCATGTGCGAACCTAGAGAAATCTACGCCAAACCGGAATTTTAATGGTCAAAAATCGCCGTCCGCTAGTTCAGAAAAACCTGTTTATTTTTGTCTGTAAAGAGAATAAAATTACGGGAATAAAATTCAGTTGTATCCGAAGACATAATTGTTTGGTATATCAAGTAACAAAATGGAGTTTCATTACTATCGAACACCTAGTCTGTTGATCTTCTTGAAATTAGCGATAATCGTAGAATGCTGCGTGGTTGCTTCATTACCGTATTTTGTAAATACTTGGGAATATTGTTGCGCTTACCATTCCGGAAGTCAACAATTAACCCATCTTTTTTAAAACTGAATTTTTAAATTGCTCCAAATTCTCTATCTTAGTCATTTGTTCTATATGGTTCTTGTAAATCCGATACACTTGCCGCAATAATTTTTGTGTGAGTTTAGTTGTTTTTAAATATCATCTTTAATATACTTCGTTGTTACATTTTTGCATATATTTTGATATCTATATTCTTTGCAGGAACCAGGTGAATCATCTACATCAGGGTATAATGACATCGATGTGAATGAAAGTGACCCATATAACACTTATCAAGTGCCTCCGAAACGTAGCTCAGTTTCCCCCGTCACTTCATCGCCAACCAACGGTGTCGACAACCCATTTGTGACAGATCCAGGTGGTAATAGGTATGTGTTATTTCTTACGTTTTTATATTAATCGAGGAGCAGATCAAATGTGTTAAGCTTAGTACTACTAAGCAAACTAATTCTAACTTAATATTCTGACGCGACACCATTAATCGTTGTAATAACTTACGTTTTTTATAGTTAGAGATTCAATGGGCATTCTCAGGGACTATTGATCCCATACATTTCACCAACTTTCAATCATTTCTTTCTATTGACACTATAAACGCTGAGCAAAACTGTATTTTTTCATCAGAATCTTACCTTTCTTTTCCGTATTAGAAGGTTTAATTCGCTTTCCAAAAAATTATTCATCCCACCCCCTTCACCAACTTTAAGCCTTTTTCTGTGTTTGACTTTGATAATGGAGAACGTAGCTGTAATAATTCACCAAAGTCTCACTTGAACAGAAACCAGAAACTACACTCTTTTGTTAACATAATTGCCTACTCTTGTCATGTTAGAAGGTTCAATTCGCTTTCCAAAGAATTATTCATCCCACCCCCTTCACCAACTTTAAGCCATTTTCTGTGTTTGACTTTGATAATGGAGAACGTAGCTGTAATAATTCACCAAAGTCTCATTTTAACAGAAACCAGAAACTACACTCTTTTGCTAACATAATTACCTACTCTTGTCATGTTAGAAGATTTAATTCACTTTCCAAAAAATTATTCATCCCACCCCCTTCACCAACTTTAAGCCATTTTCTGTGTTTGACTTTGATAATGGAGAACGTAGCTGTAATAATTCATCGAAGTCTCACTTGAACAGAAACCAGAAACTACACTCTTTTGCTTACATAATTACCTACTCCTGTCATGTTAGAAGGTTTAATTCGCTTTCCAAAAAATTATTCATCCCATCCCCTTCACCAACTTTAAGCCGTTTTCTGTGTTTGACTTTGATAATGGAGAACGTAGCTGTAATAATTCATCAAAGTCTCACTTTAACAGAAACCAGAAACTACACTCTTTTGCTTACATAATTACCTACTCCTGTCATGTTAGAAGGTTCAATTCGCTTTCCAAAAAATTATTCATCCCACCCCCTTCACCAACTTTAAGCCGTTTTCTGTGTTTGACTTTGATAATGGAGAACGTAGCTGTAATAATTCATCAAAGTCTCACTTTAACAGAAACCAGAAACTACACTCTTTTGCTTACATAATTACCTACTCTTGTCATGTTAGAAGATTTAATTCACTTTCCAAAAAATTATTCATCCCACCCCCTTCACCAACTTTAAGCCATTTTCTGTGTTTGACTTTGATAATGGAGAACGTAGCTGTAATAATTCATCAAAGTCTCACTTTAACAGAAACCAGAAACTACACTCTTTTGCTTACATAATTACCTACTCTTGTCATGTTAGAAGATTTAATTCACTTTCCAAAAAATTATTCATCCCACCCCCTTCACCAACTTTAAGCCATTTTCTGTGTTTGACTTTGATAATGGAGAACGTAGCTGTAATAATTCATCGAAGTCTCATTTTAACAGAAACCAGAAACTACACTCTTTTGCTAACATAATTGCCTACTCTTGTCATTTAAGAGATTTGAATGTGTAGGTTTATTTTTCCAAACTCTGTCACTGACTTTGAACTATTTCCTTATCTTTTCTTTAAAACCTTCAATTAAGCATCTTAAATTTATAAACTGATCTTGCCCAACACATCTTAAGGAGTATATTATCTTTAATCTTTACACTTTAAGCTTTTTGCTTTTCACGGTCAAACAACAGTTCTTGCTGCTTGTAATGCTATCATACTACTTACTATTCAACATTAGGGTGCCAGCTTCATGACGTCACCCTTTGCTAGCAGCAACGTCACCCTTTGCTAGCAGCACCGTTTTCGAAAAAGATTTTTCGATGTATCATTTTACTGATGCTGTGCTAGTTGGTTTCTTCAGTTTTAAAAACAGCAAAGATTTGCCGAAAATACTTACCTAATCTTTGAACGTAAAGAAATGCTGTCTATTTTAATTCAAAAAAATGCCAAGAGTAACTGAAAGAATTTCATGATTAAAACAATTGAGTTTTGCCGGTTGACCAGGGCGCATATGTCTGTTGGCTGTTTGCAAATTTGCTGAAAATCCTTTATAATTGCATTTAGTTTAAGGGTTCCACATTGACTTTGTATCCAAGTCCACTTTGACGTTCTTTTCTCGTTATATTTTTGCAAGGACAGTGACTGTCCTCTATTCCATCCTGCACGGTGTTCGCCAAATAGTAGCTTATTATACACCATGAAAAAGTGTGTCCTTTGTTTTTGCAGTGTTTTTTTGATAATCTAGCATTTTTTAAATAGACAATAAATGGTCTTCAATAAGGGGTATAAGCCTCATTGAACTTATTATAGAAGTCAGCCAACTTCGAAAATAAATTTTTGAATGTCGCCAGTTTTGTTGAAGTCATCCCCGGTGAAAAATTCCTATTCACTTGGTTGAACCAATGGTGTGTATGGGCTCGCGACGTAGTTCTGCTCGCTTTTTCCAAAGTGCGCTTTGTTTTTTAGGAAAGCTTAGATTGAAACGATCTTCAACTTCTTTAAATGCAAATTGGACAAGCAATTAAACAATAATCAACTTCAAGTCAGTGTCCTATTTTAATAAGGACCCCTTAATAATTTGAAATTTCCATTGGGATACCACACTATCCAGGACACGTACGAGACCAAAGCGTTCGTATAGAGGTGATTTTCCTCGAAAGCAAAGGATTTTTAGGCATACAAGATTCAATAAGTACTACCGGTGCTCATTAGAACATTTATGGTGATAAGCTTCTAAGAGCCGCAAATAGCGCGCAGATGTTGCTTCAGTATAAATTTCAAAGCGGTGCGCAGACCTAGTTTCAAAGGGCATTTATTATGTGCTGAATATAATTTATGAAGAACTGTAATTACATGAAAAACTGGAGTTTCGGTCAAATGCTGTTTGTACAATAGAAGCCACTTCTTATTCTAAATCAGAACCAAGCCCTACTTTATATCAAAGCCTTCCTGGTAGGCAGTGGTTGGATATAGCACTTGAGATTTCCACTCGAGAGATTTTTCGCAGCTAATAGTATTTGGAATTACCTGTGACCTATTTCCGTTGATATTGCTTTTCTACAGTTTCAACCACATTTGAGCTTGTATGAACGCATTTGTTTCCTAACCTACAATGCAATTTCCTATTATAATCGCCAGGAGCGCAGGAAAATGGCTTGATTGCAAAAACGCTTTCATTGGAAAAGGGCAAGGGCGAAACCTTGTCAATAAGGCCTCCATTGGCTAAAAGTATGGGACGGCTGTACGCACTGCCCCCCACCCCCCCCCCCACCCTGCTTCAAGCATTTTAGTTTCTCGTAAAACGAGTCTTCCGAAATTATGTGATTGATTCTGTATTTTTCTCTAATAAAAGGCGCCCTCTGATAAGCGCCGGCCTCTGTTAAACGCCGCACTTCCAGCCATTTGTAATTAACGCAGTCCTCTGATTAAGCGCACACTGTTTTGAATGCTGAATCTTGAAAAGCGGCGTTCATTAGAAAGCAAACCAAACAAAATATAACGAATAGTTTGTACAAGTTTTACTTGTTTTCTATCAACAATTCTTCTATAAGCAAAGATCAACCCTTAAATGGAAAGCCAACAGAGAGATATCAACCCTTTAATTCTAGAAAAGTTTAAAGCTTTCAGTTCTGCAGCCTGGCCAAAGAAACATAGAAAAAGTGAGTTTCAAAATAAGAATTTCACAGGTTTTGAGCGATTACTAAGGAAAGTGAATGAGCAAAAGAAAACTTAAAAATAAAGAACATTATCTGAAGTTACCTAAAAATTGAATTTTTTTTCTTACACTAACTTCAAATCGGTACAACTTTCGTTGCGAAATCCGTCTTAACTACACTAAAAAACGGACCATTTTTCAGCCTACCTAACTTTCTATTGTTGTTATGATGGGTGTTACGTTTTTGGGTACTGAACTGAATTTGATTTGATTCCACTGGATTATTCAATGAATTGAATTGATTGATTTGAATTCTTTTCTAGATCGGACGACGAATGGGATGATCCCCCACCATCTGAAGATATTATAGGCGTTCCAGTCCGCGCATTATACGTGTACAATGCAGTTGAAGATGATGAATTGTCTTTCAAGGCAGGGGATGTGTTTACCAAACTCAGTGAAGAGGACGCTCAAGGGTGGTGCAGGGGTCGTTTTAACGGAAAAGAGGGTCTATACCCTGCTAATTATGTTCAGTTAGTGTGAGTTGCTGTGGCTGAAGTTATATCCTGATTTGTAACCCCGTTCACCCCTCTTATCGCCCCTCCAGTACCTCCACATATCATTAAAACTTTCTATAGGTAAACTTTCGACAAATTTCAAATCTTATTTTAAAGTCAATGTCGATGAGTTTTCACAGAGAGTAGAGTGAGTATTTTGTATTGTTAACAAAAAGTTTGAGGATGAGTCTCTAGCACACTGGGTCTGTGTTGAATCTTGCGTCATATCAGGAGCGTAATGCATGATAATTGCCAGTTTTGGTCTATTTACTCGTTAAGAGGAACTAGATATTAATCGAACACGTTTATATTCATGAATTTGTAGTAGAAACTTAGAATTAATTAAGATGCTGTTATAGTTGCCAACCAACTTTTATAGTAATTGTGGCGCTTGGGTCGGCTTGCCATCGCAGCAATTTTTTGTTTTTAGTTGCCGTTGTGCTTTTCGCTCCATTATTCCTCGGAAATGTTAATATTCCCTCGGAAGCGTCATCAGCACGATGCATTTTAACTCCATAGTTTCTTAATTGAAGGTTTGTTAATGTTAAAATTGATCTTTGTATTCTATTTTTGATCGTTGTTTTGCATGTTTTTGTTCTTCTGGTCGCTCTATTTATCATTTTTGTTTTATGTCTTCGTGTTGTTATTGTGGATTTTCTGATCACTGATCTAAAAAAAGACTGGATCGAACACCTTATTGTTCTAGTACATCAGTGCGCGAGGAAAAGATCGAGTCTCTCTATGTTGGGGCATCTCGCGCCTAAAGTTTAGGGCTGCTACGGGTTAGAACGATACACACACAGTGCTGTGCTTTTAATTCTTCATGAACTATCGAGTTCTTAAATAATCTAAGTAGCAACAGGCCTAGGAGAATTAGTGAACAGTGGATTCTCTCTCACATAAACTAATTACCACGTCAAGCATTTTTAAAGTCACTTACGAATGCCGTAATTTCTTGTTTCGATGGTTATTTTGAATTTTGCTATGAAAAAGCAAGTTGAACTAAAACCAACATGAATTCTCTCTAGTCCCAAGCAACACGGCAAGGTCCAAACGTGGACGCTGCAATGTGGAATCAACGCTGGGCTGGAGAAGCTCGATCCAGTTTTTTTTAGATCAGTGGTTCTTACCTTGTTGTTGTTGTTGCTGTTGTTCCAACCGTTGTTGTTGCTGTCGTTGAAGATGTTGTTGTCGATGTTGCCACTGTTGTTGTTGTTGTTAGTTTTATAGCAGTCGCACTAATAGTCTATTTAGAATATGGAGCTTTTGAATTGTTTTGTAAGTCGTCTCGATAATGGTACGAAATTAACTGAAGGTTTTTCTCTCATCAGAATCGGTCTTCCTTACAGTATGAGAAACATTATCGCGTCATTTCTCAGGGTATCATTTGTCCTAGGCTGTCCAGATAGATATTTTAAATCTACGCAATTCTAAAAAATATGGTTATTTCTAGACACACGTGTTTTGCATATCTGCTTGCTTTACAAGAGTTGTCAAGGTCTGATCTTTTAGCCTGAAGTTATAGCCAGGTTTGTTTTTGTGACAAGGAGAAACGTTTTTTGTTTGCAAAAAGTAAAACTTTTGTGCGCTTTCATGTAACCAGGCACATTCAAATCTATACCAAAATCTTGCTATAATTAGAAAAGGTCTGACATGATGTCTGTGTGCATCTGCTGCCGAAGTGAGGGGTTTTGTGGCCTGGGTTTTTTTAAACTCTGAAAAATTCCAATATTGTAAAAGGCCTATAAGAATTTTTATGCCCATAGATCTCAGAATTGAAAACTTTCAGACACTGCCACCTAACATGTTCCGCTGCCTTTGGTGTTAAGGTAAAATTATGATAACTGAATCTGCGTAGGTCCTAACCATTCTTCCTGACAATTGATAAAATCTTCAGGCTTCAACAATTTTCGGAAAAAGTCGGCTCACTTTTGGTGGAAATTGCCTGTTGTGATTTTCCCGTTTTCATGAAAATTGTACACCTTTACTTGATCATTTACCCACGTGTTTTTCACAATGTGGCTTTTAAGTTTCGTAACTTTTTAAGGATATGTTGATATGAGCAAAATAATTCTACCTTTCAGCCTACAAGCTGGCAGACGGGATGTTTTGTCTGAATACTTACTTCATTTTCTATGCAGCCTTACAGCTCCTTGTTTCTTTCAACTCTCAGTTCAGGCCAAACACGACCTAAAAGCACATATTTTCATTATGAAATGTAAATGCAAACTCGCCACTTTTATGCAAACTTCATTCTACCTTCCAATCACTGTGGTGTTTGTATGGGCAGGGCTGCCAAGAGGGGGAAGGGGGCAAATTTCCCCAGGCCCTTGAGGCCTAGGGGTCTCATTAAGTAATGAACTTCATTTTAAGGTAGCAAAAGTATGCCCAAAATGTTTTGAAATGCATTTTAAGCCAAACTGAAGGACGTGGTCGCAAAAATGTTTTGCTCCGCTCGCATGGATCCTCGTTACCCTGGGTACCAGATTTTATATATATATAGTGAGTCTGGTACCAAGGGTAGGGTCCTCGTATTTTGCTTTTGCCCATGGGCCTCCGATACCTGTCGGCGCTCCTGTGTATGGCAAAATCACATTAAAAAAGGCGAGCCGTCAAGATAAAAGTAATAACCCAAATCCTCGAGTAAGCGCTCACCCTGAAAGTATAAATTGTTAATATGTCCCCAGCCTTGAATAAGCCCCAATTCCAACATATAAATTTTGAAAAAGTTACAAAACGAGCCAGTTGAATCTTTCGAGGTGATTTTCATAAGCCCCCTCCCCCATCGGTTAGCCCTCTAACTTAGCAAGCCCCCGATGGGCTAATTCGTAGATTTATTGTATAAGAAAGTGGAATGACAAGACTTCTTACCCCATGGGGTAAATGGGGATAATTTTTCTGGTAGATGATAATGGAAATTTCAAGACCGAAAATTAGGCTCCAGAACAGCCCTCTTTAAAAGGTACACTCATTTTTATGATAAAATTTGCTATTAAATCATACAGAATTACTCAAATAGAAACATTATTGAAAATATTAAGAGAAAAATTTAAGCAAATATATTATGTAAGGATTGAATTTAGAGTTTAAAATTCTGGACCTTTGAAAATAATATTGGATTGTTGACCCAAACAGAAATAAAAGTCTACCGGAGTCTCAGAATTCTTTGACAGCATCTTCAAAAGTCTCTTCTCCTATCTTTGTTATATTTAAGAGGTTGGAGTAATCAATAGCGACCTCTTTCTTATATATACACGTTATTTAAAAAAGATAAGTTATTTCTGGTCTGTCATTGCACGTTAGTTGAGAACCTTGCCAGCCTTATTAAAATCGCCAATCTTTCACAGTCATTAATTTTCTATTTTTTCCTTCCTTCCCTTCGTAATTTCATTTCTCAAGAAAGCCAACTCCAGTATTCTGGCAGCAGATGGTCATCGGTGCTCTTTCGGCGCAGCCTTGAAGTCACAAATAGCTAGTTTAAAGTACAGGTTTGTTTCAGAATGAACTTATAGATTCAATGCATAGCCATAAGCTACAAATCACAAGATTAAAGTTGTTTTGAAAATGCTATAGATTGAACAATTTCGAAAAGCTCAACCGTCAACTATGAAATAACTAGAAAGTAAAGAAGTTTATGTCGTGATGGCCCCAAACAGTAATTCCTATTTGAACAAAGTAGTTCCTAGATACATATTTATTCGTTGAAAACACCAAGCAAACTACCTTGAACGTTAAATGTATTTTTGCTGTAAACGGAAATTGGAAATGGCTGCATTTTTTGTAAGCTTGCAATGTTGAATAATTCTGAACTGAATGATCTCTCATTAAGCTAATTCTGAGAAACAAACGAACATGGTTCATTTTTGGATCAAAGAGACTCTCCACAGGTCTTCTCGGGGTGAGTTGAATTAGAATTGGCATTGGGGCGGGGGCTGTCTATTACACTGCCTTTTTTAATGAAGACTATAATTTTTTTCCAGGCTCGATATTCTTCAGAAATTTTCGTTTTGAGCCTGAATAACAAAAATATTCTCATTTTTCAAATCTGATATGATTTTAGAGAAACATTGCCGCCTCTTTTTAAAAGTATTTTGAAAAAGGAGATATGTCAGCTCTGAGATTCCTTGTTATGACCATCACAAAATAGGCAACTACCGAAAAGAAGACACAAATATGCCAGAGAAGGCTGTTCAATGTTTTTATAAAATTTTTAAAAATTTGTTAATTCTGAGCCTGAATATTTTATAAACAATATTATTTTAAAAAAGAGTGGAAGTTGCTTTCCATTAAGTAACTTGCTATCAAGAAAATGTACCGTAGTCTGGCTGTCATTTGGGGTTGCCAGCACTCAAGCCCGCTCTGCATCTTTTGGTCATAGAATTTGACTTGCTTTTAGTATACCCTTAATCCTTCCCTCAAAAACTCAAAAAAGTGACTTTAAAAGTTTGTGACGCAGCCATCCCAAACCATGTTCAAGGAAAGTTTTTGTGATAAAAATGATATAATTTGTTTGAAATGAGTAATTTTGTGTCTAGGATGAGTAAATAGAGACTTGAAACCAGGGGTTATTCTAAGGAACTTTTATCGCTCCTCATAGTCACAATGGGTGTTGCCATTTGAAAATTTTTATCACACTAGGTAACTGTGTTGTAGAATGTATTCCAACGTATTCACCCAAGCATTTAAAAATGATTGCAAAAAAAATTAGGTTTAAACATGTTTTCGAGAACAAAGAACATAAAGGAGAAAATGAATTCTGCTTGACAAATCTACCATAGACTGGGTAGGTTTCAATTTTAGGATTCTACTTAGAACATAAGATTTCGTACGAAACATTGCCAGTTGATTCCTAGGGACACGCAAAAAAGTATGCTTGTGTGTAATCTTATTTCAAATGGAAATAATTCTGAGCTAAATATAGCTTAAAGTATTTTTCCAATCCATTACTAAATTGAAATTGCTTATGTAGGCATAAATTTTAGGGTGAAGAATGACCCCGGTTTAGATTTATGCAACACAAACTGTTTGATAAGATTAGAGAAAAATAATTTTTTATCTGCAGATACAATGAGTACAGTGAAGCGGACTTTAATGATAAATTTTGATGTTGATAGGATTTAAATGCGAATGGACTTCTCAGAGTAACTTCTTAAGGCGGGTTTACACGATCGTTTTTCCTTAAATTTTTTTTCGATATTGGACCGCGATGAACGACAACGATCGTGTAAAAGGCTAAATTGCTGAAAAAAGTTTGATGCTATCTGTCGTTTTTAATCCGCTTAATTGGCGATAATGATCCATCGTTGAAGATTTTATTTTGACTCCGGGTCAAAATAAAATCTCTACCATCATTTTTTTTCAAAGGGGCCGACAAATTCTGACGTCATGTCAGACTCGGGGAGAGAATTCGAGACTTTTTACTAAGTATTGGGGTGAAGAAAAGATTGGATTCATGCTATGAGAACTAAAATAGTCGGGGAAGGTAGTTAAAACGGGCAGGGGACTATTTTAAGATAAAAAGAGGTTCGGGTTTTACAAGTTTTCTTTGAGAATGGCCCGTCATTAGCTACACATTAGAGGTTTTGAGCAACAGAAATAGAGAACAATCCATCCAATAGACAAAATGCACAAATAAAAAATTATCTGGACCTCGCCGGGACCATAAAAATGTTCTGCGAATATTTCCCTAATTTTTTCGGCCTAAACTTTAGGCTTATTACCCTTTAGTCTAGCGGGTAAAGGTTCCAGAAAAGAGCCAGTGTTACTCTCCCTCCATCGCCCATCAATCACGTTGTCATCCAATCATTAAATGTGTAGCTAAAGTAGGGCCATGCTCAGAGAAAACTTGTGAAACCCGAACCTCTTTTTATCTAAAAATAGTCCCCTGCCAGTTTAAACTACCTTCCCTGACTATTTTAGTTCTCAGAGCATGAATCCAATCTTTTCTTCACGCGAATACTTAATAAAAAGTCTCGAATTCTCTCCCCGAGGCTGACATGACGTCAGAATTTGTCGGCCCCTTTGAAAAAAAATGATGGTAGAGATTTTATTTTGACCCGGAGTCAAAATAAAATCTTCAACGATGGATCATTATCGCCAATTAAGCGGGTTAAAAACGACAGATAGCATCAAATTTTTTCAGCAATTTAGCCTTTTACACGATCGTTGTCGTTCATCGCGGTCCAATATCGAGAAAAAAATTTAAGGAAAACGATCGTGTAAACCCGCCTTTAGACATCTTGTAGATGTCTCCTTTTTTAAATTTCGCGGGGTTTTCCTTCTCTCTCCCACAATTCCATTTGCTTCGTGGTCCGCATGTGCTTTCCGTTGAGTCCTTCTGGAGATTTGTCCTAACCGTTAGGGCGTCATTGTCAAAGTCGGAGAATAAATTGCTGTTTTGCCATCCGTAGTTATGCCAAGTGCTTCATCGAAAACCACAAACATGGCCAATCAAGTCCCAAGCATTGAGGGACAGGACCCTTTAAAAGTTGTAGTCTCTATGATGGAAAAGAAAGTGAGAAACCTGGAGAAGCGGAAGGTGAGTTTAGTAGGCCTATGGCGTCATCTTCTGAACACGTTTTCGTAAAGCGGTCTTGCTTCCAATTCCCGCTCAGATCATCTGATTTTATTATAACAAAAGGAGCCCCATATAGTATTATACTTTTTGTATACAATTCACACTTCGGCACATTGTTTTCACCAACGGAGGAAAGTTTGTTCCCGTTTGGCGAATAAAGGAAATTAGGCCAATCAACCACGTTTTTTGCGTACCTTGTTGGCCTAACCAGTTATGATGTAGAGTTATATGGAGCACTGCAATGTGAAGCAGATGCAAGAGCGTTAGATAGGAAAAGTGTAAGAAATTAATTTCGTGCTTCACGATAAACGCTACATAGTTTTTCTGAGCTTTGCTGATAATAAACCAGCTAGATCCCTGAACTGAAACGTTTTTTCTATCTATTTCATTTGAAAAAGAAGCACAAATGTTGGCCTTTATGAACAATATAAAATCATCAATTGTTATTAAAAAGTTCATAACAAGCACCCTTTATAATAATTTTTTGTTCAGACAGAGGCAGATACCTAACAGATTTTTCTTAAAATAGACATTAAAATAAAAGTTACTAGAGGCAAACAGTATTTATGAGCTTCTGAAATATACGAAAGGCAAAAACTTCAAATGAAACATTAACATATTTTTGGACAGTAAATAATTAAGGAGATCCTCTACATCTGAAAACACATCTAAATGAACTAGGGGAATAAGATAGAGAAGCCACACTGGACCACAACTACCATACTATTGATTTAAAACTGAAGCTTATGCACCGCTGTACCTCTCTTCAGAGGGTGTTTTTAGAAACCATCGACTGGCCATCAGGATCAGTCTAAGAGGTATGCTAGTGCCTTAGAGGTAATCTGTCATTTACTGTGCCATTCATTTTTACTGGAGTGAAGTTCAGGCACCATTGACCTTGATCAATAATAAAACAACTTGAACCAATCAGAGACAACTTTTATTACAGAGCTTTTGAATGAAATGGCTGTGTTCTCTTTGTATATATATAGTGAAGCTGTCTCTAGAAAATTTTGCTGCCTTCAGGAATGAATCTGCGGGAGTGTTGTGAATAACACTCTGTGGCAAATCAAGGGGTGCAATGAGGTGCTTTTTCTATTTTAGCATTATTAAGTACAGTAAAATCCCAATAAACTGAACTTTTTTCTGATTCCCTTCAGTGTTAGTTATATCGAGATTTCAAATTATATATATATTTATTTCACACCAGGGTATACTCTTTTAAACTTTTTTTAAAGTTATTTTGCAAATGGAAAAAAAAATTTTATTATAAAAACAAAACAACACAATTTCAAAAATGGATATCCTAAAAATCAGAGGTTTCTGAAAACACACCGAATAAATGTTTACACACTCGAGCAGAGGTTTTTAAAAACACTCCAAACAAATTTATCTTTGTAGACAGATAAAATTGAAAACTGAGCAGTGAAAGGGGCTCTGTTTACATGATACTGTTTTTATTTCATATCAATTGGTTCCATACTGGGCTTTCTGTTTACATGAAAACTTTCTAATCTGCCTATCTATCCAATATGGCAAAATTTGGTGTTGGATTGCGAAACTAAATATACATATTTACAATGTGAAATGAAAATGTTATATATCTTTCAAACAGGGCAAATCATTAAATTTCTAAATATCTTTGGATGCACAAAGACTCTGCTTTCGACATATGCAAAAAAATTAAAAAACAAGAAGCTTAAAAATTTTGTCAAAGTCAAAAAGGGCAAAAGGTCTTGCAACACCAACGGCCAAATGTTTCTGCCCTAACTGATTTGCGTTATTGTGCAAAATTTCATTAAGTGTTCACAAACAATTGAACTTTCAAAAGCTGTCTGTAAATATTGCAAGGAAAATGATAAAGAATTGTATATGTACCCTGATACCAATTGATTTCAAGAAATAGTGTGGCTTTGTGGCCCTGCACTGAATGATATGTCTGCTTCGCAATAGACCTGCTAAAATGTTACTAAATATTTTGCATGTTTTATATATATATATATATATATATATGATTGATGGCATCTCAATGTGAATATTTCTCCCAACAAAGAGTAAACACATTGTGTTTCTCTTTATTCAAAAATATTTGTGTTTGTATAAAGCGTGTGTATAAAAAAATAGCATGTTTTATTGGCCCCTTTGAACTGAGTTCAATTCTCCTGACTTCGTCGTTTTTCGCTTTTCTGACATCATTTGATTTGCGTAAGGCTTGTAGGGCAAAGGTGGGGGGGGGGGGGGGGAAGGGCTCTCTCTCTTGGAGCTCCTCCTTAGTCATTCAATCCTGATTTAGTTGTAAATGTCGTTTGTATCTCAGCTGTAGATGTAGATGTAAATGTTGAATTGTAATTGTCTGATAAAAAAACTGAAACTGAAACAGGAAAGTATAAGTCTATCATTTCTAATACTATGAGGGCCATGTTGAGCCAAAGAGACTATGCCTCTGCTTTGAGGAAAACATTGATTGAAAAATATATAACTTTGTGGATTTGTAAAAGATTCAGCTATACTTCTGCTGGCCAGGCTTTTTGATAGATAGTTTGATGGATGAAATTTATACACTGGGCATAAAAAGCAACAGACATGAAATCATTTCAAGCTGGCTGATTCTAAAGAAGTCAGCTGTATAAATTGTATATTTGTGAAATTTTCATTCAAAATGTTATGGGCAACAATTCTGGGATTCTTTCTCTTATCAAATGATACATTTTCAGTGTTTTTCTCTTGATCTATGATGCATCCCTCAGTTGATTGTAATTCTGGTCAAAAGCTTCATTATATTAAAATCAATGTACTGTGTGTCACTTGCTGGTAAATCTTGTCTGTCAGTTTCAGAAGGCTGATACAATTATTTTTTTACTCAACTGCCCCTGGATCAAGCCCTACCACCTTTTTTGCAAGATCTGAAGAGAACTCAAGCTGTTTTTAACGTGTGCCAATAAAATTTATTGCTGTCAATATCAAGCTGCAGTTATATTGTTTCAAAAGGCTTTCATAAACTTAAGTTTACTTTTGCTGAATAATAATTAAAAATGAAATATGAAACAATATAATTAAATAATATTATATATATATATGATATAATAATATATATAATCATAAGGCAAATGCTGACAGGAGGAAAATTCTTTCCACAAGGGTGCTGCCCAATTGTATTGAACTACTCTTGGTCGGAATCGAACTCCAGTTTGCTGCGTCGAAAACCCCCGCTCATTCCACTGAGCCAAACGGCCCAATGAAATGAGCGATGAATCTCCGAAGCCAACACTGGAGATCTCACCGTAGCCAAGGCAGTTTTAGTTTCTTCTGTTTCGGCTTAAAGCCTTCATCAGAGCCATTTAAACCATAGATATATAATCATAAGGCAAATGCTGACAGGAGGAAAATTCTTTCCACAAGGGTGCTGCCCAATTGTATTGAACTACTCTTGGTCGGAATCGAACTCCAGTTTGCTGCGTCGAAAACCCCCGCTCATTCCACTGAGCCAAACGGCCCAATGAAATGAGCGATGAATCTCCGAAGCCAACACTGGAGATCTCACCGTAGCCAAGGCAGTTTTAGTTTCTTCTGTTTCGGCTTAAAGCCTTCATCAGAGCCATTTAAACCATAGATATATAATCATATGATATAATAATATATATAGTTCAATAATACATATATATAAAAAAAATAAAGTAATATTATTTTAATATAATATAAATTGATATAATCGAATGTAATATGATATAATATGATATAATATATATAATATTGTAGTGATTCCATTCATTCTAATTTTTCTCACCTATCGCCATCCATTTTTTACTTTGTTTATTTTACCTACAGTAATTTCTTCACATCACTACCTCATCACTACACGCTACGAACATATCACTATGTCAACATTTCCTCTCTTTTGTTTAGGCCCTCATTAACCCTACACATCTACCTAAATCTCAATTCATAAACTATTCACACTGGGCCTAGCCCAACCTATCCTTTGTTTTCCTTACATCATTAGTGTTAATTTTAGATATTAATTTCTGTATATAAGCATGTTAATTTTTATGTAAGTCAGTTCAGTTCACATCAGAGTTACACAGGCAACACACTGTCTCTCTCACTGGCTCCGTGTTCTCTGCACGTAAAATAAGACACGCTGGGTTGGAAATGACACGTTAGTCGATGGATGGTTTTATTAGTGAACGAATCGCACATAACAAGGCTCAATTCTCGTTACACTAAAATATAATATAATTAATATAATATAATATAATATAATATGATATAATATAATATGATATAATATATATAATATAATATAATATCATATGATATGATATAATATAATATGATATAATATAATTAATATAATATAATATAATATAATATAATATAATATAATATAATTTCATATAATATAATATGAAATATAGAATATATATGATAAATTTCTTTGTATGGTAATGTCACCTGGTTTGGTTAAGTGCATGGCTTTTGAGCCATGCTCCAAGCAAAAACGAGGATGCTTCATGTAACAAGCTCGTAAGAAACTAATGGGGCTCTATGTCACTCCGCAAGATAAAATATTCTAAAAACAGTACCAAAGGAAGAAATTGGCTCCTTTTTGAAAGCTCCCATAGCACCACAACCCTGGGCCTTCGGTATGATATTATGTGGTATTGAAAATGAATTCTGGTAGGCCTTGCCTTGGAAGAATCAAGATATAGAATTGAGTTGAACATGTATTCAGAAATATTATAAACTCTTGTACGAATCTTATAAACCATAGTATTGCTTTGATTTGTGAAGATGGTTTAAGATTGTTCAACAATATTTTAAAACAACATTCTGCTTCATGGTAATATCTTTCTGTGTTTTAGATGCTCATTAAACCACTTTAGGCCATCACGCTTGATTCCGGAAGTGGGCTGTTGAGCCCCTGGGTGCTTATCAAGGTCATGGGCAGTTATAAAACCTGTTCCTTTAAGAGTTGATGCTTTTTAGACTCCATCTTTGTTGCTTTATTGCTCATTCATGGCAATCTTGTTTTCAAGTTTCAGCTAATCTTCTAAATTGGCAGTCAAAAGGACAGATCATGTGCCTTATATCCACCCATACTAATGCTTCTAGTTTTACTAATGCATCAGTTGATTTGTGATCAATGCTGGCTTCTATTTATATTGTGAAATTTATGTTTGATTTGTTTGATTTATAGACTAAACTGGTTACCTATACAAAGCAGGTTCAGAGTGGCCAGGAACTTGTTGAAAAGGAACAGGAGGTTGTTATCATTCTGTATTTTCCTTATATATTCAAGTTCTGCCTATTTTATTGCTTGACTTTGCCTAGATATAGAATATATTTTATATACAAATGAAACTTCTTGGTAGATTAAATTTCCCAGCGTTGAAAACCTAAATCTAGGTCTTGAGATAACTCCAAAAATCTTAGTAGTTTTGCAGCTTGGTATATTGTCTATCTTTTTCAAGAAGGTTGAAAACTATTTTGAGTTTTCATTACAAAAATTATTTTGAGTGACTTTTGGTGGTTTCTTGGAAAACCTCCCTTTTTCAATGTTTGTTTCATGTGTTTTATCAATCTTGACACTATTTCATGTTAATGAAAGTTGCTTATAATTTACAAGATATTTTATTCTATTAGGACACATTTATTTTAATGCTGAGTTTAACATATTTTACTGCCAAAACTCTGACCTTGCCTCTTAACCTTAGGATGCAGTGAAAAAGCTTGAATATGTGGAAAATAACCTTGAACTTGCCAAGGAGTTTCAAGGCATTTTCAAATCAATGGAACAGGAGGTGAGTCTTTGCAAAACTGATGTTTATAAGATTTTCATGTAGCATAGAATAAATGTTCTTGCATTTAGTTTTCTAGCCAGCAAGATTTTTAATTAGTTGCATTGATTTGACCTGTAGTCATAAACGCCTTGGTAATGCAAGTATTAGTGAGACCTTATGTAGTTTTAAAAATTATATATATATATATATATATATATATATAGAATTTCTTTGATACTTCCGTAGCACAGTGCTCAATACGTTAGCACGTAGAGCGTGATATATCATAGATTGAAGAAAGTAAAACTACATGGTTTATCTCTACAAGCCTGTTTCGTGAGTAACTCACTCTTCAGGAGATATATATATATATGTATATAGGCTTACGTTATATGTATAGCTTCCTATCCTAGATGCTAAAGGCTGTTTTATTTTCGCTATAGCATCAGAAACTGCAAAAGAAAGAGCAAAAGAGGGCCAAAGTGGAAATGAAGGAAAAGAACAACGAGGAAAGAAAATCACTTGTTGTTCAGGTCCTGGAGGTGCAGGCGATACTTGAAAATCTTGATGGTGATGTCAAAGAAGATTTTGTGAATGGAACCAAGGGTGCAGTGGTAAGAGAGATTGCTTTGAATGAGATTCATATCGGTAAACATATATTTTATGTACATTTCTAAGCCAGTTATTTTGGTTTCCTCTCTATCAAGTCTTGATTTTTTCCAAAAAAGACTGTAATTGCTTCCATGTGTCAGACAGAAGTCATTTATTTTCATGGCTGTTTGTTGTTTTCACACAGAAACTTGCAGAGGATGAATTTGCAAAATTGGATGGAATTTACAAGTTGATTACACCGCTGCAAAACGAAGACACTGAAAAAATGTCAGAACAAGTTTCAAAATCAGCAGAACACCTCCAATGTCTTTTAGATGAAAAGGACAAACCTGTTCTGAATTCAACTTGTATCCTTAACTGATCTACTGATTGCCATTCATAAACTGTAGCTAAAATACACATCTTATGCATGTATTCATCGCTACAGTTAGAAAGAACTGCACATAAGGCTAAGGTACAAAGTTTTTATTAAGCTGACCACTTTGATTAAAGTTTTCTACAGAAATCATGTCACTGTACAGTCATCTTAAAGTATTATTTTTCCCGTTTTTATTCTGGAATGTGATTATGTCTTGTCAGCGATCTAAAATGAAAATAAGTTGGCACACAGACCTGGAAAAAAGCAAATATTTCTGTTAATCCATAGCTGTTAATCCATAAGATTTCAGAATATGATTAGAATATTTCAGAATTCCTTTTTCCATTGCTATCCACCATTTTCGCGTGGGAGATTTAGCCAAGTTGATGTTATTGTAATAAGGGTGTCATTCCAGGGCCTGGTTTACCTATTAGTCTCATTGGATATTTTATATGGTAACCTGTGCAGTCATCTTGGCAGGACTTTGCCAAAAGCCAGTTTGTAAATTCCTTAACTAAGACGAAAGATAAGGAAATTTATGGTATCGTTAAGAAGATCAAAGATTCAAAGTATTTTGAGAAGGCCGAAGAGGATGAAGCACCTACGCAAGAAGCTGATTCACAGGAAGAACAAACAGGAGAACAGGCGGAAGCATCAACTGTGGCTGCAGAATCAGAAGTGGAATCAGCACCAACGCTAGAACACACTGCAACTGGCCAAGTGGAAGTCAGGGGATCAGAAGTTTACACTGAGGTGCCATCAGACCATGCAGAACAAACTAAATCAGTAAGCTATTCTAAATTCTTCTTCTATTCTCTAGAATATACCTACTTTTTTCATAGCAAGAACAAAATTTATAAGAGCCCAGAGGCTCGATTTGCCAACAAATTAAGACCAACTTAAGAACATACCTGTTTTTTGAAAATTTATTCTCCTATAAACAAAACAAAACAGGTTTTTCAGTTAGTCAACCGTGCTGCTAAACATTCATTTAAAACTATTATTTAGTATGCAAATGTAACAAATCAATTTTGAAATAAGAACAAAATGAAGAACTCTTGAGCCGCAAATTATTTAAGAAGTAAGAACATTGAATCAAGGTGTAGATTTACTGGTTCTTATAACGAAAGAGAGTGCTCTGAAAGCCCTCACCAGAAGAAAATTTGAAACACATGACGAGTTTGTGCATTTAATATAAGTTGATTTTGATAAACCTTCCTATTGTTTGTCATGTTACCATTGTGTTTTTTCGGCTCTACAATCTCTAGTGAATATGAAAAAACAGAGAATATTCAACAGTTGGACTTTAGATTAACTTGGCCCTCAAATCTTGTGTATACTGTCCTGCAATGCATAATAAAACACTTCTACTTCCACTGACAAGCGTCCTGATGTTATCACCAGACCAATTGCAGATATAGGTCTTCCATATGCGCGATTTCCTTCTACCATTCACAGACTTATCTTTTTCCAAACCTCCTATTTATTAGTTACTTGATTTTTATCAAGCATGAAACAGAGGCTGCCCTCTTACAAGAATCATCGGTTGTGAATGGAGTCGACCTGCCCTCAGAATTCAGTGAAGCTGTGGCTGACTCGGCTCTTAACTTCATGGGTGAATCCGAAGTTCAAAGCCGTGGTATGTATCACGTGTATGCTGACGTAATCAGCCTAGTCAGTTGCAGAGATCTGTTTGTAGTAGAGAAATGGGACTGAACCGGATAGGCAGAGTGTTGTTTTGTATTACCGAGAGTTTTGTCAGTAAACTAAATGTTTTAAAGGGAAAGTATAATTTGTTTGGATCCTAGAACAATGTCCAAAGCTGGCTTAAACAGGGATCATTATGAAGGGAAAGGATCGTTTAAAATAAGAAAGTCGAAAACAAGAAGGTCTGGAAGTCAAATATATAGGTTATTGCTTCATTGTATATGTTTTCATCGCCATTGTTGTCATCACTTAAATATTTTATTTTGCCTCGGCACAGTGTGGCCAGATCTAACATAATACACCAATACGACTTAAGGCCTCGTTTTTGAAATTTCTCCAAACTTCATTATACGACTTTTATAGCTTCGGGTTTGGTTTGATCACCATAATTCTAGGCTGGATGCAATTTTTCATATTGTTTGTGCTTGTATTTTAGATTTTACGGAGAAATGAAGTTTGAAAACTTATAAGAGATTTGACCGCAAAAATCATTCCGGGGGAAACTTTACCCCCTTAGTCACAAATTACTGTCAAATCCCTTAAAAGATTTTTAACCTATATGTCGTCATAAAATCAATAAAGTGAGCAATACCATAATGGAAACTGCCAAGTGGGCTAAAATCCTTTCTCTCAATCCGAATCTGAGGTCAAAAAGTTTGTGCAAAAGAATTTGAAGAATGTTTCAAAATGAGGCTGTAAGTCGAATAGACCAATTCGACTTACGGCCTCGTTTTGAAAAAATCTTCAAATCCTTTTGTACAAAATTTTTAACCTCAGATTCGGATTAAAAGCGATGATTTTAGTCTATTTGAAAATTTTCATTATGGTATTGCTCACGATATTGATTTTATGACGACATAAATATAAACATTTTATAGGAGTTTGACCGTGATTGGCGACTAGGGGGGTAAAGTTTCACCCGGAATGTTTTTTTGCGGTCAAATCCCTTGCAAGTTTTCAAACTTCATTTTTCCATAAAATCTAAATTACAAGCACAAACAAAATGAAAAATTGTATCAAGCCTAAATCTATTGTGATAAAACCAAATCTGAGTTTAAAAAAGTCGTATAATTAAATTTGGAGAAATTTCCAAAACGAGGCCTATTGGTGTATCATATGCTTTTTGCATAATTTTGGTCAAAACTTCGCATCTGGCATAAAACTTGGCATAATTTAAGCTCTAGCTTAATTCTGGCATAATTTTGATATTTTTTTAAAAAAAATCATTATCCCATTGATAAGTGATTCGCTGTATATCGTAACTGCATTATACTTCTGGCTATAATTTTAAGTGACGCCATCTTGTCATTACATATCAGTGCCAGATAGCAAGGCACATTAATGACGTCTGTATTTCGAGGTATTTTATTGGTTACTACCTAAGTTGGCAATGATGATTTCCAGAAATATCTCTGTAAGTAAAAGAGTATGGGCTACCTATATTTCACAAATGCATAACTTAATATATACATTTTTTATGATTAGTTGGTCGCGCTCTTGTTTGTTAGCTATTTATGTTCATATTATAAATTTACAGTTAAATATTGTATTTTCAAAAGCATAGGTTCCAAATCTTTGATTGGCTGAGCGACCAAAACTCTGCATACCCCATTAGCCAATCAGAATTAAAGAATATGACAAGAAACGTGCCTCGCAGCTAGATTTAGGCCTATTTTAGACGTTTTTACCACTACCCACAAATAATAAACGTGTAGAATGTGCTAAGAGATAAACTAATTTTTTTAAAAAAAATTTCTGAAAAAACCGCCGCTGTACTCACTTCGCCGCGATCGTTTGTTACAATGGCTTGAAATTGTCCCTTCCAACCCTTGCTATAATAAGGGGGGAGGGAATACATAAATGTAAAAGTTTTTAAACCTTGAAAAGGGTTTAATCCACATAATTAACAATTATAAACTCACCTTTATGAAATTAATGTTCAGATCTTTACGCTATGTCGGCATTGAGGCTTGTGCGACTGACGAAATAAAACGCTAAATTCCACTTAGAGAAAATGCAGCCCTTCCTTCTCATAGAATTGCTAAAAATTGTACAGTTTCTTTTGCACTCAGGTACTTTGTATATTCATTTTGAAGACTTGAAGATTGATGAGAAGCTCAAGATATTTCATTTTCGCGCCCTTTTTATCGTTCACAAGGCCGTAGCAGTGAACATCAGTTGACGTGAGCTTCACATCGATCTTCCAAGTCTTCAAAATGAATATACAGAGTATTATCAATAATCCTCATCATTCTTTATCACTAATCATAGTCTCTAACTATTCTCACTTTTACCTCGCTGTACATTGTGCTTCTCTTCTAGTCCCATCTGGCGAGGAAGGCAAATTAAACGCGGCAAGTCCCGAATTCATCCCGCGAAGTTTGCAAGGAGTGCCCTCCCAGGACCCGAGCATGAATGCTCAAGAAGCTGGAATGGAGGATGCAGGGGAGTGGCCTGATGGTAGGTTATTACAGAGACAAGTCTAAAAAGATTAGGTTTATTCTTGGTTGCTGTATTGTTTAGGCCTTTGCTATCAATTTGATTCTGTAGAAAGGATTCAAGCTTAAAATGTCAGCCAGTCACCGGACCGGGAGATGAAGAGCCCTTTTCAGTAGAGAGATTTTTTAATTCATTTCATCATCTTATTTAGGCACAACTCCCTGTTAACTTTACAAAAATTCGATATAGATAACGACTATAAGTGCTACAAAAAACACAATAAAAAATTGAATAGGTTAATATTGAAAACAACATCAATATTGATATAACCGCTGCACCTCCTATAGATCGAGATTTAGTGTATGCTAGGTCGAGAAAAATTTTTAATTTTTTCCTTTGAACACAGAAATTGTAAAGCTGAGTCTTATCTGTCAAGAAATTTCACGGGGCCGATCTGTTTCTGGAAATTCAAATATAAAAAGACAACCACACCGCGTCAGAGTCTTTCTTTGCCTAATAAAAGGAATTTTTCTGAAAAATGAAGTTATCTGTGTTTTTAGTGTTCTGTTCCATAGATCTTCGTCATGGGGTAGAGCTGTGTAACAGCCCTTTTCAGGACTTACACAGCGGTTAAAACATTTATATCCCCTTCCAATCATTTGGTAAACTCATTCAGGGCCATGAAAATTTGAGAAGGCTGTTATTTGTTGCTAAGTTTTGATTTTCGTTTTAAAATCATCTTTTTTTGCAGCCCAACATCAGCATCATGGCGGCAGAAGAGGAGGCCCGCGCGGAAGAGACAGGGGTGGTTTCAGAGGTGGAAGAGATAGCCGTGGAGGTAGAGGAAGAGGTGGTTTTGGGCAGAATGGATCAAACTATTATCGTCAGGTACCTCCTTTGGAATTAAACATTTAAAATATTCATACAGTATGAAGATTCTCTGTATTTCCGCTTCTGATAAAGATTTGGAGGCGAGAGATATTGCGTTCGCTTTGCACCCATGCCTTGATTCAAATACTTTAACGATAAGGTCGAGTCTGTGCTTCTGTTTGGGGAAAGTAATGGAAAAAATAGTTCAAAAGTCATTTTCAATAGTTTCTCTATGTCAATTTGACATTTTGTAGACGCCTGAAAGTCTATATTTACTCCATCTTCCCTTCCAGGATAGGCCAGAACACCGCCGTGATGGTGGGCGTGGTGCACCGCGCGGAGGAAACCTGAGAGGCAACCGAGGAGGACCAAGAGGCTCTGGGCGCGGTGGTCCTTCTCGCGGAGGCTCAGCGCGCGGCCATCACCAGCAACAACAGCAATAAAAATTGGACAAATCCTGGAACCTCCCCAAATCGGATTGCGTTGTGTACATACAGTTTCTAGTAGAGCATGATGCTTAACCACTGTTTAGTTTTCCTCTGGAACCCTTGGTATCGATGAAGCTTTGGCAAAACTTTCGTAAATGGCAGGCGTTTGATTCACTCGGAAGGTCGGTTCGTTTTACACCATTCAGATGCCGCGCTTACAAACGGCACGCTTCTGTGTTTAGACAGCAAAGCGTTTGTTGGTATCCTTGCATCACGCAGCAGCAACTCATCCCCTCCCCTGTTATAGGAAATGATATTTATGTGTCAAGGCGAAATTGTAGGTAGTTAAATATTTGGCACAAAATACAATAGTTTAGAAGTAAATGTAAGCGTAATCGATTGCTGGCCAATTCATAATTGTAAGCAAGGCAGCTAACCAAACGCGTTAGATGCTTGCACCTTTTTAAGAGCTGATTGCCCCAATTATTTACCCCCGATTAATAGATCTAGCGATTGGCTGCCTGGTCGTTGATATTGTGCTCGGCATTTGTTTGGTGTAAAACGTTGAAGGGTCGTTTGTTATTGAGACAACTGTTTTTGATAACAACCATGTTTTGTGCAGTACCTTACGCGTCGAAGTGAATTTAGTCAATATTAACTTTACTTAACAAAGGAAAGTACAATGATAAATAATTTGTTTTTCTCTTGTTTTCGTTCGCATGAATCTGAATCATTCTCTCCGATATTTGACTTTTATCTGTGAACAATTCTTGACACAAAATCAGCATGGGTAACGAGACGTCCTGTAAATGTCCAGTTCAATGCCAGACCACGGTGTTAGCAAAGCTCTTTGAGAGGCGATATATGGAAGCGATAGTGTTTCGTTTCCCCGCCACAAAACATAATGATAAAACAACAATTTTCAAGTCGTCCCCTAAATTCTGGTGGTTTTTTAACTTTGTCTCAAATGTTTAAATTTTTATATCTAGATGTGTTGGGCAAGGCTAAGCAAACTGGCGTGGTTATAAATTCAAAACATTTCAGGTGAACACGAGAAAACAGAAGGGGCACACTTTTTGCTTTGTATAAAAACCTAAAATTTGCTACACGGTTTTCTAGATTATGGCACAAGTTAGTTGTCAAATTTTCTAGCAGGGTTTTTCTTTTTGAACACGGTGTAACAGTCTTTCGTGTACAAAAGTAATGTGTGCAGCAGCAAAAGTTAGAACAAATGGTGTTTAACTAACAAAGAATTGTTTGTTTAAGTGGGTTAGGGGGATTTATTGTTAATGAATATGAATACTTTCCAAGTTTATAATTGAAGTGACAAACTGGAGGTATCCAAACTCGATCATTTTCCCAGTAACATTTACAACAATCCAATAATTATCTCTGGATTTTTCAAGCTTTTCTTTGAAACTGGAAAGAGCGTTGAGAAAAGTGGGGGGTCTAAAAAGGAGGGGTGGGGCTAAAACCGTATAAAAAGAGGCTTTACTGGTAGTTCATTACTTAGTATTAAAAAAGTAAGGGGACTAAAGCCCCCTGCTCCGCGGTGCCTGGGAAAGCAGCCTTTTCTCGACGCTAAGCTATGAACATGCAAAATATATTTTGGAGAGGGGTCTTACTTAAAGGTGGAGGGGGGGGGTGCGTATTTATCAGTATGGGTATGGTTACGTCTAGACAATGGTCACTACATGTTTTTGTTCTATTTAAGATAGGTCAGTACCCTTAAAAATGCTTGATTGCATCTTTTTTGAAACTTTGATTGGAAATCAGTGTTGACTGCTAAAGTAATGGCCATGCAAAAACACGTGGTGGGAATAATTGTGCCCTCTAAATAATATATGGGAGCTGTAACAACTCTCGTCGAAAAACCAATCGAAAAGATAGACAAATTGAATAATTTTGATATAAAGTCCGAAGGAAAAGAATCTGAAAGTAGCAAATACAGTTATATTTTTTCAAACTGACCAATGAGTTGGTAGCCTGCGCGCAGATTTAGTGTGAGACAAATAAACGATTTATTGTTTTTTTCTTAAAATCGATAAATCTCCTATGGGGGCTTATTCGAAGCTGGGGGCTTTTTCCACAATAAATAATTTTGGCTTATTCGAGGGGGTTGGAGCTTATTCGAGGGGATGGCTTAATAGAGGGTGGGGGCTTAATCGAGGACTTACGATATCTAAGGGGGTTGCGATTTACCCAATGAGGTGTATTCTATACACCTCATTGGATTTACCAAACCAAAGCATCTGGTCTCGTTTTAAGATATTGCATCGAGTCCACTGGTAGATGGCGCCCACGTGCATTGTGAGAGGAAAATGGCGGAGGAGAACGGCAATGATCAAGGTAATTCAAGATAATAATTACTCTAGTCAGTTCTTCGTATCTCTGTGAAATGTCAAGATTCCTGATTTTCTAAACATACTGTATCAAGTACTTTAAGTAGAGATCTCCTCCCGATTAAATCAGATGTAATTTGTGTCTTGGAAATGTGAATTTTGATAGTGAAGTAAATGATATGATGCTTCAGTAAGAATTAGCATCAGATCAGCAACTCAGGGATGGAAAAAATTGGACCACGGGAATCGTGATCATTGGTCCCAGAAAATGTTTGAAAGTGCATTAGACTTATCAGTCCCTTTCCCGTCCCAAAATTAATTTTAAATGATTGACCAAATTGTTTTTCGAATCATATGCCAATTTTGATTTGTTCTTAACGGTATTCAGTCGTTTGTGGGTTTGAGGTTTTTTGGCTTGTTCTTAGGTTGTTCATGGGGTGCTCAGCCTGTTCTTGGAGTGGGAAGTCTTTTAGAAACGATGGTTTGTTTATGTATTCTAGATTGCCTCATCCCCAAAGGTGGTAATTTGTTGAGACACAACACCTTAAATGACCTAGAATGCACCAAATCTTGAATTTCTCAATAAATCTCAGGGCACTTATTTCTGAAATCTGGCAAAGTTTAACTTAAGATTGTCTATTTGAAAATTGTTGAAAATAAGGTTGTGAAAGTACTGTAAAACCCATAAAAATCTTCATAGAAATGAAATGATTTATCTATCATTCTGTTGTTATTGGTCACAGAGTTTTATTGTATAAAAGACATGCATATTCTGTATGCTTTACCTAATCTGCAATGCTAGCCATAATGCAATTGCTTACAAACTCAAAAGCAAAAATTATTAAAGTAAAGAAAAAATAACCAAACAAATTTGCAAGGGCACGTTATAAGAGAGGTCAAAATGCTCCACATACCACTTATATTATTTGATAAAGCTGCTCTGAAACTACAAGTTCTGAGGCTCTTTGGATAAACAGCATGAATTGGTTCTGAAAGTCCTATGTGTGATTCCAGATTCATTTCATTTTCAGATTCATTCCAGAACAGTTTCATTTGGTGTTCAACTTTTTTCTTTGCTTGTTTGTTCACTGTTTTTTCATCAATTTTTTGAAGCTCCTCCAGGGACTCATTAGGTTTTCTTGGGAATTGCTTTGAACCCTATGTCTATTTTGAGTTCCCTTCCAATTGTTTCTACAGTTGACTAGAAAGAATCAGCATAAGGAAGTTAGGATGTTATTTTCACTTCCCCAATAAGCAATGATTTTGATTTAGACCAAACAAGGAATTTATCTGCTTTTCTAAAAGTATACAAGGAAAGACAAGCAGAGCTTGTCAAAAATAACTGAACAATCTGCGTAATGCCATGTTTTAGTTTTTGTCAACCAGAGAAGTTATCAATTTTCTTTTGCCTTTAGATGTCAGCACTCTAAAGAGCAAAAAGCACAAGCACAGAAAAGATAAGCGTGAGTAGTTTCAAGTTCTTCTTATGAATTAACCAAGAATGTTCTTTTCTTGTTACCATGCTTTAACAGTGTTGACCTCCCACTTTCAGTCCTGGAAATATGAAATCTACTGGCGTGCTAGTAATCACGCACCTTGAGACATCAAGGGGTACAGTGGTGTGTGTTCCATGAAGTTTAGACCTTAAAATTTTTGTGAAGGCCTGAGAGTGAAAATACTTGTATGTATGAGTGTTTGTAAAAGTGGTTTAATTTTTTTTAAGCCAAAGAATTTTTATGGAATTTTAGAAGAGGTTTCTTGAAAACAATATAATTTAACAACAAGCATAGAAGATTTCAACTGATAATGTCCCTGGAATGCTATCAAGATAACACAAAGGAAAGAAATTAAACAATTAGTTTGGATAGAAACTAATAGGAAATTAAAGGAATAGGGGAAAAATAGTAAAAAATGGCTCTGTTGGTGCGATAAAAGGCATGGCTAGAGTGTTTTATGCTTACCTAATATTACCAGGATATTACCAGCTACGAGATTCAGCACCCAATATTACCAGGATATTACCAGCTACGAGATTCAGCACCTAATATTACCAGGACTGCACTTTAATAACTAACATATAACCCAGTTATATAAAAACTTACATGGAACTACATGCAAAAAAGTGCCATTTTACCGAAATCTATCCAGAACATACTCTGAAATTTTTTCTTTTGATTTTGGTGCAATATTTGTCATGGTTTCAATAAAGTAAAATGCATAAAGGAGCTAGAGAATTTAAGTTATAAGATCCTGGATATTGTCAAGACTTTGCAAATTTGAGCAGCATCACTTTTGTCAACCTTAACCTCTGAAAGTTTGTGTGCGAGCTTTGCCTATCAAATCCTTTGCCTAGGGTAATGTAAAGACAATCTATGAATTGACATTTAACAGTCCTGCTACACTTGATACCAAATATCTAACATATTGATTCAATCAACCTTGGATCTATTTCCAGTGCCAAAGCAACATTTACATGTACCCAAATGGCAAGTAAACTGTAGTATTTCAGGCAGTTGCTCATTCTTACTTGTGTACTAGTTTACTTTTTGATGAACATGTAATGTTTTTTCCAAAATTGTCCTAGGGAGAAAAAAATTTGCTGATACCAACCTAAAAAGCCCAGTCTCGAGAGCCTGTATTTGAAAAAAAATTATCTTTAACAATCTTTTTAGTGAGTTGTCAGTTCACTCAGCAGATTTATGGAAGTACATGTATTTAATTTTTTATAAGACTGGTGCAGTCCTTGATCAGTACAAAGCAATACACGTGTCTGAGTCAGCTGGTGCCTGTCACAGTCACACACCTGCCATTAAATATGTTTATATATGCACAAACGTTGCAGTCAGTTGGGGTGGTTCAGACAAGTTGTTCTGGCATTTAAGTGCAGCTTTCACAGTCATTTGTAACAGATGTAGTCCTAAACAGCAATACCATTTAAATTTACCTTTTCATCAACATTATGTAACTTTGCTTTGGGCATTTTTACAGCTCAAACAGCCATTGCAGTAATCAACCTTTAAATTAAATTTTAATACTTATTTAAAGTTTAAATATTAATACTTTTTGGCCTGAGCAGGTGTTGCTTGAAATGGATAGCAATTTAATAAGTGCCTGAAAATGTAAACAATATTGCTTCAAAGCAAAATAATTTTGATCATGTTTTAATGCAATGATATTAATGCAATAATTTTAAGTTTGATCAACATGATCAAGTGTTTTAATATCAACGTGCAATGATATCTTAAAAAGCATCATTCCCATTTGCACGCAAAACGTTTCATACCTCTCCACTGAGAAGAAAAAATGCAAATGTTTGAAAATGTATTATGTATATGTATATGACATAAAAAGATACTGTATGCAAATAAATAGCACACAATATCATACCCAAGGCCCAGGAATGTAGTTCTAAGGGAGCACAATCCACATTATCAGTGCCAATAAGGATCCGATTTCTGGTTTGCTATTGCTTCTGTTCTATGCAACATTTTGCACTCCTCTCAAAGATGTTTTCAAGGCAATTTTATTTAGAGGTGTGAAATAGAGCTGCTCAAGTTTCTTAAGAGCTTGTTTCAAGATGCACCTTAATTTTGCTTAGAGCAAGGCCTGAGAAAAATTGTCAAATCTGTTTTCCATGGTAAAACATAATGTCATGGGCTTCCTAAGGATAGATTTTTCCTGCTAGAGTTTGTCTGTAAAGATCAAATGCAATTTTGGTTTTAATCATTTATTCCTATCAAGCATGGTCAAAATTTCTCTAAATCGAATGTGTATATTTTGGGTCAAAATTACTAATGAAAATTACTGTTTTACTGATCTGTCATTAAATATGAAATGGGACTAAGTTGTGACTCCCTGTCTCAGGCCTAGTGCGATTATCAGGTGACATTTGCCTGATGATCATGTTAAAGGCGACCTCTCCCTCTATGATTGGCTAATATGAGCAAAAGCTTGTCCTGCCTTAATGGATTATGCTGCTCGCTTTGGCTGGCCTAGCTGCGGCATTGGTTGACATTTGAAACTGCGAGCAAAAAGGCTATCGGAAGTGGCAATAAGATTTAATTACTGGAATTGAATGATGATAATGGAAGCATTTCTTTTCCCTGTTGACTTATCTGTCGCAGAGACCAAACAGGGTACCAAATTTTTCTAGTCACAGCTTCACTATAACAGTGACACAGCCATTTGATTCAAAAGCTCTGGGACCAAAATTGTCTCTGATTTGTTTAAATCCTTTTAACTATCGATCAAGCTCAACGATGCTTGAATTTCACTCCTCTGAAAATAAACTTGAACACAATAGGGGACATCTGTCTTTAAGCATGAAACTTAGACTTGCAATGCTGAACCGTCCTGTTCTGTGTCTCAATTAATTCTTCAAGTTGAAAATGTATTGATGTATGCTACAGTTTTTGATTTTACCATTCTCATATGATGTGTGTGAAGTAGCATAAATATGCATCAACAAATTTATATTTAAGCTTGGGACCATGAGGGAATAGACCACTGGAAAGAAGAGGCTTTTACAAAAGAAGATAACCCACATGGTCTTCTTGAAGAATCAGCATTTGCAACCCTTTTTCCAAAGTATAGAGAAAAATATTTGCAAGAAGTCTGGCCACTGGTAACAGAGAAGCTCAAAGAACATGTAAGTCTGCTCACTTCTATAAGCTATAGATTTCTACCAACAGCCACAGCACTTCCTCTGATTAATTCAAACAGTTGTTTGAAATAGCTTTAATTATTACAATGTTTTGGGACAAATGGTTATGGTTGACGTTTCTAACAAGATATTTGGTTTTCTCTCTCTGAAAACTAAACTGTTGAGGGAATCTGATAAAACCATCTGTCATTCGATTCATAAGAATTTGATGATTGTAATCATATAGAAATATTTGGGAAATATTGTAAAATGATACTTCCCAGGAAACTTTAGTACTTCAAAGAGTTTACCACCTTAAAAAGCTATCCTTGCTTTTGAGCTAAAAAAATCTGGCTTAAATTAAGAAGTGCAGATCCTAAGCAATCAAAGTGCATCTTTGATTTTTCAAATTTCTCCTCTCCTTGAATCAAAAACGTGTCAAAATTGCACATAGTTTTTATGGCTATTAAAGATGGATCAAAGAAAAGAAATTTTTGAGGCACGCTTTGCATGCCTGAATTCTGTCCTGGCTATGTGCAAATTTGGAGCCATTGAATGGATTCCATGGGTACAGAATAGCTTTTTCGTACTTTTATCTGGAGAAATTTTGAGTCCTAAAAATAGGATTTTACCGTTCGCACTCTGAAGTACACAACCGACATTTTAATTCGGGCCAATTTATTCAATTTTATGATCAATTACCGTCTTTAGATAAACACAACCGTACATTAGATGTATGGACGCGGGATGTTCTTGTAGCTAGGGGAAACCTTTATTTACATGCGATTTCCACCATTTTCAGTTTTTTTTTAATATTTTGAAACATGTTATCATTGTTTGTCTTAGAGTCCAGCTACTAAAATGCGCAGAAGTCGAAAAATTGGATGTTTTCGTCCAGAAAATGTTTACCATAACTCAGCTATTGCATACAAAAATATATCTTTTATTTTGGTTACATGTAGTTTTCGCAACATCATCCGAACCGAATTTTGTTTTGAACTAAAATTTGATCGATTATCTATTTAAAAAATCTTTTGGCGGTACAAAACTTGAAAATGGCTTTGAAAAAAGCTAACATTTGAGTAAACTAAAGCTTTTCGTCTGACACGGTTCAGAGTTTAAAACGTCAGAACATAGATCGAACTAGTTTTCGATCTATGTTCTGACGTTTTAAACTTTGAGGAGTGTCAGACGAAAAGCTTTAGTTTACTCAAATATTTGCGTTTTCAAAGCGATTATCTATTTTTTTTGAGAAGCTTTATAGCACTTTTAAACATTTATCTCAGTTTACTGAAAAATTTCTTTAACAATTTTCTTTTTTCTGGCGATCATGTGTTTTCCATATGTTAAGAAGCTTCTTGCTGTTAGAAAATTGTTTTTGTTCTTGAAAACTCGTACAGGTGCACCTGGTTTAGCATTTAAGTAGCTTTATCAGCAAGGCTACGATTATCTAAGAGGCTCACAAGTGTGTGCTGATTCTCGGATTTGAAAATTTAGACTGTGTTTTCCTTAAATCGTTTGCTTCTAAAAATGGATTCTTCATTGAAAAAATTGCATAAATATATATTTGCATAATTTCCAGACACTGTGTTGCTTAAATCTAAGATATGGTTTCTGCTAAGAACAACTTCTTTGCATCATCCAACAATAAAGTTAAACGTTTATAGTGCTTTGCCGTGCTAGCTCTCTGCATGGGCTATACAAATATAATGAAAAAACAGTGGAATTTTTGGCTTTCTTACCAAAAGCCTGTTAATTCATAGTCAATTCTAGATAAATCAATTTTTGCAGATTTTTTGAAGCTACTTAATCTAACCTGTTCTTATATTTGTTGTCAATTCTAACTGAAATTTATTTTTGATATTGATATATTCATTGAAACAAAGGGCTGTCAGGAGCTTTTCAGGGGCCTGGGGCAAATAGAAAAATGGAACCCATCGTGACGTCAATAAAACCATGAATTTTATTTCTGTTGTCTTGGCCCCAAACATCTAATGGTATATAGAGCTGTTTTTTAATTTTGATTGATTGTAATTCAATTGCATTTATCATAATCGTCTCTTAGTATTATCACCTTTATGTTTAATGAGGGAAAATTTCTTGACTTAAGGACAATTTTTTGGTTGGTTTAAAAAAGGAGTTAAGAATTTCATATTGGCAAATTCACGGAAACATCGGTTTTTTGAGAATTGAGTGCATACTGTTTCTATATTTCTCGTTTGGTTATCCTAAGATTGATATACTTGAGGCATCTCAAGGTGAAATTAAAACTGTTTAATATTCTCTCCTCATTTAGGGCATTAAATGCACATTAGACTTGATTGAAGGTAGTATGACTGTTGCAACTACAAGAAAGACTTGGGATCCATATTCAATCATCAATGCAAGAGATGTGATCAAGCTGCTTGCCAGAAGTGTCCCATTTGAACAGGTGAAGTTCCTTCTTACGTCGTAACTGTCCTTCAACATACAACTGTTGATGAGCAAAAGCAGAAACTGAACCAGACAATGCAGTCCACTGCCCAAACTGCTCTTTAAAGCTGTGTCATCTCTTGCATTTTTCGCAATTTATAAACAGATAGGAAAAATTAGGTGTGATGAAGGTTTTAAAAAACATCTCGTTTACGATTGTTGAACTTATAACAAATTCAGACATTCTGCTGTTGAAGAATTTTCTGCTTTGTTCCCTTTACAATTCAGGCCATTTTTCCATTTCACCAGGCATGCAGGGTTCTAGAAGATGACGTCACATGCGATGTTATAAAGATAAAAAATACAGTGAGAAATAGAGAGCGGTTTGTTAAGCGTAGACAAAGGCTGATCGGACCGAACGGTGCCACTCTGAAGGTATGAGTTTGTTGGCTGTTAAACTTTAATATCTTTTTCGCAAAGTTCACGTTTTTCTTCGAACTACTTCATTGACAAGGTCATCGTAGAATACTGATCAACACTTTTAGCCCCTGCTGATTGACAAAGGTCTTAATCCATCACTGGAAATTTGCATCTAATTAGTGCATGTGGACTTAAGACATAGAAACATGAAAACGTGAACTGGGGCTTGCGGGTGACTGTCGGGTGCAAAATCCTATCACCGTCTGTCTGAGATTATAATATTAGGCAAAAACGAATGAAAGAAAGTCCAGCGTAATAAACTGCTTCTAATGTATTAGTTTCTTTATTTGCTTTAGGTTTATGTTTTAAATGACTTTAAAGAAAGTAAACATTTCAGTATGCTGAAGCTTTTAGTCTGACGCTCTTCGGAGTATAAAACATCCAAACACAGACCGAAAACTCCCCGGTAGGAAATATATATGGAAATATAATCCAAGAAATGTAATTATGGTCTGTGTTCTGACGTTTTATATTCTCTGAAGAGTGTCAGACAAAAATTGTCAGTTTACTCAAATTTTTGCTTTTTTCAAAGCTATTTTAAAGTTTTGTATAGCTTTGTTCTGCAGTTTTACATATTGTTGTTTGTTTGATGTTTGCAATAACTTTTTTGTTGAAAATTATTTTATCAACTAGATATCATGTTCTTTATCATAAGGTGGCCCTCTAATAACTTTGTGGGGATTTTATTTGTATCTAGGGGGGGGGGACGTTTTTCTTGTTGAATCTTTCTCCTTCAATTATTCTTCGCGATCAATTACATCAGAGTTGTGAGTACGTTTAAACAGTCAATGACACACCCAGTTGTTCATGTGATGATTGTTCAAGGTGGTTTAATAAACTGTTTTTCGACTTTGGGAGTAATTTTTGTCTCTAAACCTGTATCATGAAGCTTATGCTTCCTAAAAAGAGACGTCCCCCAGATATAATGAATTAACTGTCCTGTTTCGGTTCTTCTTTACATCGAAACTAAACGACAAAAGGAGTTTACAGAAGATCTTCAAATGTACAGTAGCCAAATGTACTTCTTTAAATTACTTCATGTTGTTCAGAGGCTCCATTTCGCTTTTTAGGTGCCCGTTTCAATTGTTTTTCCGATTATTGTTTGCTATATTCAGTTGCAATGAATCCCTTTTTATTAACAAGCTGCGATTTCCGAAATCTGAATCCCTTTTTATGATAAAACTTTCGATTTACAGAGTTAAAGGATTTTAACGGCAGAAGTTCCCTATGTTATTTAGAAATCGGTTTCCGCCCCCTCTTATTAAGACACTATTTCAAGCACTGGAGAAAGCCTGTAAAGGTTAGGAACGTCTCTCTTCGCACCCAGTGACCTAAATGTTTTAAGTGTAGAGATCTACTTTCTAACTTCTCAGTTCTGAAGAATGAATTCATTATTATTTTTTTTGCTAAAGGCTCTAGAATTGTTGACCAATTGTTATGTACTGGTGCAAGGAGGAACAGTATCAGTCATTGGTTCACACAAAGGCTTGAAGCAGGTTTGTTATTTGTTCCAACCAATGAAAGAGAAAAAAAATAGATCTTTGGATTTGGAAGTTTATTCCAAGTAATTTTGCTCTTGCATTTTGGCATCGTTAAGTACCCAAATGTGAGTCTATTTTCTTGAATTTTTGTGACAGCAACAATGTTTCAACTTTTTTTTATTTTGTATGCCAGCAATCATTTTTACGAACTGTTCAAGTGTTAATAATTAAAAGGCTGCCACACCAAGACTTCATTGTGCCTTTTGCCTTTTTTCAACAACATGACTAATTAAGAGTCAATTTGCAGGTGAGAAAAGTTGTGGAAGATACGATGAAAAACATACACCCCGTCTACAATATCAAGGTAAATGAACTGTTTGATTAAAGTTTATTGCATGTGAACATCTGTCTTTCTCAGCACATATCAAGCATTCGCTTGCAACCACGTTTCTTCTTTTGTGCAATTTTCGTGATTTGCTCAGTTGATATTCAAATACATTTACCAAGATCACATTATCGTAAACAAAAAGAATTTTTCTTGATAAGTTTGCTTATGCAATAGGACTATGCCTACTGCAAAAGAAATAGCCGAGCCACATAAAAGTGGTTTAGACTGAATAATATGTAGTTCTCGTAAGTTTGTATGTAAAGACTGAATAATTTGATGCCTGTGAAACCAATTATCAACAGATTTCAAAGCTCATAAAGGCCAGAAAAGTTGTTAACCTCCCAGTCACAAGATGTTTTCCTGTCTCTGCCTAGAGGCTCATGTGCAACCAACACGCTTTGCGATTATAATTCCAAAACCGGCTTAAAATCGTACTGCATGAAAATACAAAACACAGTCAATTTCTCAAGACAACTGCCGCTAAGCATGCCGGTTGCGCAAGGGCCTTTAAGTGCAAGCCTTTCTTAAATTGGCTTTTGTGTTCAATTTCTTTCATTAACTCGAAAATCAAATTGATTTCGAGTTAAACACGCCTCAAAAGATTTCGTGTTGCGGGTGGAAGCACATCCTTGCGAAGTTATTATAGTTCTAATGACAGGGCCCTCTTTCTTTACTTATACTTCTTATAGCTTTATTTTCTGCTAAGACATATGAATTAAAGTTGTTCGATGCGTTTCCAGATTTTAATGATAAAAAAGGAGCTTGCCAAAGACCCTAAACTCAAAAATGAATCTTGGGACAGATTCTTGCCCAAATTCAAGACGAAAAATGTACCGAGAAAGAAGACCAAAATAAAGGAGAAAAAAGAATACACACCATTCCCACCACAGCAAACAGAAAGCAAGGTACTTTGTTTTTGATTCGTAAAGCGCATACTTTTTATTGATTCAAGTTTCCAATCGACGATGAATTTCCACAGTGCCTAGTTTTGCTGCAAAGTAGTGTAAACGATCGATCAAACCAGTCTCTTGTGTTATTAAACTTGGTGCGCATATTCTCTAACATACATATGACGTATATGCACAGTTCTGTGTGGGAGAACCGAAAAATTTGAGTTTACACATCCATTTTTAACTCATATTGCAGCCATGACGATAACAATCAAATGGTTGTTCAGTCTCAAGTTTAGCTCATTTTGACGTCAATATACCTTAATATACAATTTCAGATTGATAAACAACTAGCAAGTGGCGAATATTTCCTCAAAGCAGATGAAAAAAGGATAAAAGAACGCCAAAAAAAGAAGGTATTAATTTTATCAAAAAGCATTATATTTTATTATATTATATTATATTATTTTATTTTATTTTATTTTATTTTATTTAATTTTATTTTATTTTATTTTAAATTTTATTCTATTTTATTTTATTTTAAATTTTATTTTATTTATTTTATTTTATTACATATTATTTTATTTTTTATTGCATTATATTTTACCTAATATTTTACCTTGTTTAACCTTATATTATTCCTTTCTTTATATTACATTTTATATAATACCTTCTATAATACCCTATACTATACTTTTTATTAAGTTTAACCTTATATTATATGCTACCTTATAGAATATTATATCAAACCCGATATTACCTGTATGTACTGTGTATACATTTTCATGCTAAGAAAACTGAAAACTTTTCATGAAAAATATTTTTATAACATGTGAGTATTTTTGAAAAGCTAAATGATAAATCTGACAGGATAAGCAAGGCAACGCTGAAAAAGAGAGACAAAAGATACGGGAAGAAGCCTTTGTTCCTCCACAAGAAGAGAAGCCGAAAAAGCGAAAGCACGCCGAGCAAGGTTTTCACACTTATACAGCTATACTTATAAATGTGTTTGAATGTAAAATACCTATTTCTTCAGTTGTTGTGACTCATTTCCATTTAAAGAGAATAAGTCACATTGAGCTCTGTTCACAGCTTTAGCATCGAAGGCTCTTGCGCAACCGACATGCTTTGCGATAGCTGTTTTCTTACGCAAGTGTAAATAGACAATATTTGGTATTTTCATGCAGTATGATTTTAAGCCTGCTTTGAAGGTATATATGTAGAGCAAGCTGGTTGCGCAAGAGCTTTTAAACTTCCAAGTAACTACTGACAAGTCAACCTTCTAGTTATTCAACTGTAGTCAGCAGAACTAGGGCGTTGGGCAACAGATTAAAGGGTGTGTCCCCTTCCCAATGCATATCTTGGGAAGGTATTGAGATAGTAAACTCAGATTTAGCAAAAGTATAAATGGAGACTGAACACCAGCAAGTTTTACTAAAATATGGAAGAATGGGGGTCGGAACCTGTATTCCTGTGTTAGATGGAGATGGATTGACATATTGATATGCAAAGCCTTGACACACCTTAAAATTCTACTAAAGTTACTTTGATTCTTTGATACTTTGAGTGATGACTTCATAAAATTAGTGATGACGTCATAAACTGAATGATGACGTCATTCATTTAAGCATTTGAATACGCATCACAATCTGAAAAAGCACCATTGAATACCTCTTAATGTGCAAAATCAGCTATATGTGTTTAAAAGTGAACACCTTAGAACAGGATCTTTCCCCTTCAAATCACTAAAATTTGGTTAGATTCTAAAATGTATCGCTAGGCAAACATGCAGTAATTTGTTAGCAGAACACAGTTCTTTTGATTGCTGTATCCCTGCCACTTTGCTTAAGATTCAACTTATTTTCAGAGGTTTTTCTTGATGCTCTTTCATGACGTTTCATTTCGAAACTGTAATGACATTCTGTTTTCAATTTGTGTTGCTATAAGGGGGGTTGGTAGCGACTGAAGTATAATTCAACAAGATAATACGACAAAGTGACACAGATCGATCTTTCCTATTACAGAAGTTTTGCTCGAGTATTTTACTTTGTTCAAAATGTCCTTATGAGTTAATCCCGATGGTAAGGTTCTGTAAACAATGTCTTTTGAACGAAGGGCTGCATTTTCCCCTGGTTTGTTGAAGAAACTGCCTTGCACCCTCGTTATAATCTTGTATTATGACCGATAAAGAAATTCTGTTCCCTTTTTTTTACAGATATTACCTCTTTATCGAAAGGTTTACTTGAATTTTCTCGAAGCAAATGTTAATGAATTGATCTCTTTTTTGCAGATAATAAGCTTGAGATTGATGTAGAAGCTTTGAAGAAGAAGATCAAAAAAGCAAAGGTTTGTCATTTGAGCTGTCAATGCTTTTCCGTCATGATGAGTATCTTAAATGATGTCTTTGACTACCTGATTTGTTTAATTATTTGTAGGTGTGAACATCAACCTTTTGATGTCTCGTGAGTCTGGAATAGATGGGGGGGGGGGCTTCTGGAATGAACGAGATGGGTGGAAACTTTCCCAAATGCATCTTATGGGGTTTCAGAGTGCGTAATCATACATGATTTTATATCATACTAGCATCATATGGACCAGAATGATATACGGGATGAACTGGAAGAATAATAATGAACGGGAAGAAACAGAATGAATGTAACATGATGTTCATTTGTTGACTGCGGTTTATTGGTTAGATTGCCAAAATATACGCAGGAAAAACTTTCGAAATTTTGAAGAGTCAATATTTGTGAGGAGACACGAAACAGTGATATAGAAATGTGAATGGCCTAGTACCTAGAGTGTGAAGCTTCTTGACTGTAGAAACATAATATCTAAGCCGATCTGATGAACATTTCTGTTTACCGGTCTGTCGGCAAAGGCAAAGCTCTACTTGTTGGGGAGTCAAACAGCATTTGTTCTAAGGTCCTTGTACTTCCAATTTTTCTTTCTTATTCGCACGCACAGTTTTTGTCGATGACGTTATTTTAGCGAATTGCTTGCAAAACAGGAAGCATCGCAGAATCCATATTTATGTCAGGAACGTATTTGTCCATTTTTGGAATAATTCACAGTGAACTCGAATCAAAAGACGAAGAAAATTTGGAGAAATATTGTTCACAAGTTAAAAGAAAACTCTGGTCCATATGATGCTAGTATGATATAAAATCATGTTTGATTACGCACTCTGAAACCCCATAAGATGCAATTTTGTTCATCAAGCTGTCGCCCTAATGCCCATGTGCATATAATGCATTTTTCTATTGGTTTAAAAATAGCCCTAAACAACAGGAATCTAGATTCGTCTCCCCACCGGTACATAAGCTTGATGTGGTCATCAAGAAACTGTAATCCAATCCAGAGCACTCTTCTAAGCTTATATCTTCTATACTTTGTAGCCATGTGCAATGAACGATGTTCAAATAGTAAAGTCAATGAATAAAGTTTGATTCTTATATGTGTTAAACATGTAACTGTTTTACATTTTAGAAACCTAAACAACTAATAAAGACGAAATCATAAGAAGAAGAGAAAAACGCTTGTAAGTTACTATCTTCACAAGCTGTAATAAAATATCTGTGTATGTTCGGGTATTGGTGTTCAAAGCTTACTCGGGTTTACCGTGACCCCGACGTACCTTTCGATACTATATGCCTTTTAGCGTTACTTATGCAAAGAAAGTAACTTCGCAGAGCAATTATACTATTTTGACCTTTATTATCACGTTTGACTATATTTTTTAAATGATAATTTCTTAAGTTTCTTAAAAATCAGTATTGTGCTTTCTGTAAATCGGATGAACATTTCTAAAGCGGCAAAAACCTTTTTGCTTGTGAGTGTAAGCAGTGATTTATTCTTTGTAATTGCAAAAATTAATTATCATTAATTAAAAGAGCTTCATTGAGTGTATAGAATTATCCTCAGTAAAACAATATTTTACTAAAACACATTGCGTATGAGTTTTGACAATTTTTCATTCAATATTGGGCAAAGTATCGCATGCATATATCGTTTTGCATGTGAGGGGTTTTAGAAGGATCCCTCAATAGACAGACCATGTGCTTAATGGCGTCATTTGACAATAACGCGCAATGCATTGTGGTAGCTGGAGCTCACTTTTTTTACGTTTTCCTTAATTGACATATTTCACCAGTCAATCTTCATACTCGCTATCGAAAAATGAAAATAGCATGGAAAATGAGCAAATTTTTCAAGAAAATGGTAGTGCTAGTTTTTATTAAAACTCTTGACCGGGCATCAGCAGTTTGATACAAACAGCAGCCGTTGAAGATTGTAAATACGTTGAAGCTGGTATTGGCGAAGCTAATAGGCCTCTTTAAACTTATTCAAGGAGAAAAGTGTGTACAGCGGATTGTACTGTTGCATACCACACTGTTTTAGCAAAATCAATTCCATTCATTTCCAGATAGTAAAATTGGAATATTTATAATTACATTGGCTTAACGAAGATGATGTCTTGGCATTTGAGGAGAAGGTAGAAGCAGGGTATGACTGCCATACTTGCTGCCTGGAGATTTTGCGTCAATTTTATTTTATTTGATTTTATTTTATTTGTTTTCCAGCAACTCAAATTAGTGATGATATTTTATGACAGTTAGGAAGGACAAAAAATGATAACCAGCTTTAGAAAATAGCCTTTTATTCTTAGCTCTTCTTGTAAATTCAATCTTTTCTTGATTAGCAATGCGCGAAATATCTGCCATTTTCATTCCCTACATTTATGTTGTTATATATACAATGCAAGGCATGTCATGAATTGGCTTGTGACAACCCGGTAGACAACCTAAAATTGGGGTGGATATCTATGGTTATAAAGTGAAAGGTAAAAAGATGAATTTCATTACGTCGAAAGAGGTTACCCTTGAAATGCCTGCTAATCTTGGATCACATAACATAATCATGAAAGAATTCGACAATCATGAATAGGTTAGTATCATAACTTTTCATATATCATAAAGAGGGAAAAGAAAATCAGAAAAGGAGCCCAGAAAAATGATATTGCTTGTTATCATCAACATTTTCGAATTTGATGTATCAACATTATTTTAAATTGCTTGTTTCTGTCCGCAAGAGCTTTGATAACTAGATCCAATCATGTTTGAGCAGCCTCGATTTGGTTCGCCGTTTAACCGCTTTTTTCTGTGCATGGCAGCTATCACTCAGCGTTTCGCGGACAAGCTGTTTGGTCCTCCGGAGATCATCAGTGACAAGAATATCTGCGCCTGCATTTACCAAGGCTTTGAACACAGGCTCAAACTGGCTTATTACGCTTTCTTCAAACCCTAGTGGGTAAAAGATACCCGCCCCTGTTACAAACCGCTTCCCGTAGTTCTTCTTAATCATCTTGAACGAGTCAGCGTTTGGCGCTCCGCCGTACTTGATGTTGTTGAAGATGCGCGCGTCGATCATATTGTAGTTTGCATCCATCGACTTTTCAAGGGTGCCGCTTTTGTATAGAAAATCGAATGTGCTGTTGTCATTAGGTAGTTCATCAAGGCATGTTTCCAATCCAGGCATCAACCTTTTGAACTGATCTTTCAGCATGCCATAAGTTTCAGGTTCCTGGCTGAATAGCTCTGCATAAACAAATGTACCAACCACTAATCTTGGAAACTCCTAGAATGGCAGAAAGTTTTACTGTTAGTTTTTCATTATCGTGACGTGATTTGGCCTATTTCTAGACCCCGTTTACACTGTGCCGGATAAATTTTATCCGGATCAAGATTAGTTCAGATAGGCGTCGCGTTTACACTAGACCTACGCTATCCACACGAATTTGAGAGCGGCTATCCGAACAAAATTAGTTCACCTGAGAAAGTGGATTAAATTAGTTCGGATAGCTATGTGGTACAGTGTAAACGCTTTTATCCGGATAAATTTTATCCACATCGTATCTTGCTCGAAAGCGATTGGCTATTTCATCCAATTTAGTTTTCACTGTCTCCCAATAAAGACCTTTCGCCATCTTGGCTGCCTTGTTGTCGATAAATACTTGTGTTAAAAGTGCAGTATCTTGCCAGTCCACGTAAAATTGGCATCTTTGTCAGCTTTCCCTACCTTCGTTGCTAGTTCAGTGTCATTTTGTTTCAAGAACAAACTATTAAAACAAACTAGGCCTAATTTATATTGACAATTTCTTTGGATTTGGTCTAAAAAAGAAGCAAATGATTCTGAAGAGAGAATGAAGCCTTTTTACGTTGGCAGGAATTTCATTATTATTTTGTTTCCCAGAGAAGACTTCATTTTGGGCGTTCTGTGTGCATGATTTAGGTCATGTGACTGCAGTTATCGGGCACAGTGTAAACAGGAGGGCAAAGTGGACAAAATTTGTGCAGCACAGTGTAAACGTAAATCAATCCAAACAAGTTTTAAGCGGATAAATTTTATCGGGCACAGTTTAAACGGGGTCCTAGAGTAGAGCCCAGGTACGTGAAGTGAGCAAAGGCTTTCTAACATAGTCTATTAAATTCTTCGCCTGTACAAATGCACCTTTCAATGAATATACCGATGCACTACTTTTGTAGCTGTTTAGACTTCAGATGTCATAAGAAATACGACTGATTCTTCAAACTTGAATATTCAACTTGAGCCATATCTACTAGCCGAATTTATTCAACCTTCATTGCATTTTCAGCAACCTACCCCTTCTTTCCTTGCAGTAGCATGGTTCACATATTCGCTGGTATTAAGAATAGGCCTTGAATAAACATTGGGAAATTTTCCTTGTTTTAAATTTAATACCAAGGGCGTTTACTCGAGGTCAAACACAAGTTCGAGTATCTTGTTCTCGATTTCTAGTACGGTTTAGTAAATTATATTCTTATATGGCAAACTAATAGCATTGTTGTCTAAAAACTGAAAAACGTATCTAGGTGGAGTTAACAGGGTGAACAGAAAAATTTCAATTAGGAAAAAAAATAATTCAACTCCTATTTCACGTAAATTTTATTTCAGGTAAATAATTCAACCACTATTTCATTTTTATTGCTATTTATAACAGCAATAAAAATGTTTTACTTTATAATCTCGAGTTTCTATCCAGCGAGCGGCCAGAAGCTCTTTCATCCTCTTCAGTAAGTTTTCTTGCCCTCACAAACGTAATATAATGGTTGATATTGTCAATACTCTTTTCTATATTACCTTGGCGATAAAATTTCATGTTGTCGATGAGATTTCTGTTGGTAAAGGTCCAGTTTTTACTTTCCTGTCATCCACTTTCCGTTAAACGGCCGTTGCACTCCGATTATATCTGCTATCTCCTTCATGAAAGAGTTCCATGCCCTTGTGATATCGGAACAATTGTCTTTGAATACGATCAAGATAAAGACTTTTGTTTTCTTAGTTTATTTATCACTTATTTTGTCTTGAAAAATTTGAATGTCAAAAATATGTTTTTTTTGTAACCTCCATCAAATTTGATTTGTGTAGTATGTTGGCCAAAAAGTTGAATAAACGCCGGTCAAAACAATTAGAAGCCGAGGGCATTAATTCGAGTTAATGCTGCAATTCTAACTTCAACCATGGATTCTTATTTATTAAGCGCAGAGAGTGATCGAAAATTGTGTTTACCAGTTTCGCTGACAGGACAGCATAGTAATCAAAGCCGTTGATGATCACTTGGTCTTCCATTCCCAAGCTCCTCACCATTTTAGCAACTGCAATTCCTGTTTCTTTGCTGTTCTTCTGTGCATTTCCGTCCAGCACGATCAAATCAGGTTTCGTCTGAAAGGAATAAAGTGTTTGGAATAGAGGTTTCATCTGAAAGGAATGAAACGTATTTGGAATTGAAAGTTATCTTTTTCGGATATTCTGGACCAGCAACACCACAGCAATAAAAATCACAACATCAGTCGCAAATGGCGCGTTTTGTAATGCGCATGTGCATGAGTAAAACTGAACCAGACTCGATCCTGGTTTGCGTTCAGACGACACTGGAGAAACTAACCCAGGTTCGACCAGGAGCGAAACCATCTCCAGAGATGGGTTAGATTAATCCAGGTCGAACCTGAGTTAGTTGCGTCCACACTACACAAAAACTAACCTGGGTTAGTTTAACCTGAGGCGAACCCGGGTTAGTTTTTGCAGTGTGAACAGGACATTAGATGCATATCAGAACAATAGACACTAAGGGACTCTAATTGCTCCCTGGTGGTTCCTTTTTTGTTTAATCTAGTCCAGAAACACCACTTTTTGTATGCAGATGGTTTTACCTGTCACCATATGGGTATTCAGCCTTCTTATCTACAAGCAACAGACTGGGGAAATGTTGCGTTCACTGTCAGTATAGCTGAGGAGGAGGACCTAGAAACGTGATTTGGCTACGAGCTACTACTTTAGGGTTTTACCTCGATTAATACAAGAAGATCTTTGTTTTTCATCCATTTTAAGACTCTTTCTAGAAAAGTAAGCTTCAAACGCCTTCTAAATGTGTAGGTCTTTGAACCTGAAATACAAAAGACATGAATTCGCAGTTTTAGAATATTACCTTTAGAATATTTAGAATATTAAGTAACATTATACGAAACGGAATGTGTCATTTATGTGACATCCCTGATGTTATATTGCTCTTCAAATTGAACGACTGTTTTGAAGTCAAAATTTCTTCAGTTCACCTCTCCCTTTAGTTGTCTCCTGTAGACCGTTTTTCGAAAATTTCAATGAAAAAATTGGGCCTATATTGGGATTTGACGCTCAAAGTCTAATTTCATATTTTAGCACTTTCATTTTATTATCATTTGGAAACAAGTAGTTTTATTTTCCAAATAGTCAAATTGGGTAGATTTTTTACCTGGAAACACTTTCAGCCGAATCCCTTATGAAAGGTTTAACCGTCCCTTTCTATATACCAAAAGTGTAGTTATAAAAGGCATCAAGGCATATAGGTCAAGCAAACTTCTAGAGCTCTTTTGAACACGATTCTGGTGTTGCATTGACTGAGGACAAAAAAACTGTTAGACCAAAATCTGTTAGACCAAAATACGCTGACGTTAGAGAAAGGAAAGGCAGTGAGGCCGGAGGAGAGAATAGGGACTTGTAGATGGAGCGAATGGAGGAGGAAAACTTTATTAATATCATGCGGCAGATAGGAAGTTGATCGACGATATGAGACATAGAATGTGAACAGACAGATGGGAGACTAGCGGAATATTCTTTGTAAATAGAATGGACATACCATATTCAATTGACGTCGTGTATCTAAGTTCTTTGATCTCTTCTGACGTCATGTCTTGAATCTTGCGGTCTACCCCTGTGACTTTCTATGAAAGAAAGGATATGAAATAGATTGCAAAATACTTAAGCATTTTGTTAAGCAAATCGCCTTTTTGAGATGTTCGATCAAAGGCAAAAGAACTTTTTTAATCTGTTTCATTCCATTCAAATCATCAAAACTCTTTTTGGGTTCTTTCTTTAAAATCAAATCACTTGTGTACAGTGTTTCGTCATAGAAAGTTTACTTGTTTGTCAGTATCATTCGCTCCAAGACAAAACACTTTGGTCCTCTCTTTTGTTGAAAGAAAACACTTGTATTTGATCAAAGACAAAAGTACCTTTTTATTCCTTCGAAGGCGAAACACTTTTGTTACGCTCAATTGTTGTAGCAAAACACTTGATTACGCTGTTGTATCATTGAAAGCAAAACACTTGTTTAATGTGTTTTTGAAGTACCCTTTCAGCCTGTTTCATTCCTTTGAAGGCGAAACAGATGATACGCTCTTTCGCTGTAGCAAAACACTTCAGTACGCTGTTTTATCAAAGACAAAATGTTCTGTTTTATTGTATCATTGAAAGCAAAACACTTGTTTAATGTGTTTTTGAAGTACCCTTTCAGCCTGTTTCATTCCTTTGAAAGGGAAACACTTGTTAAGCTCTTTCGCTGTAGTAAAACACTTCAGTACGCTGTTTTATCGAAGACAAAATGTTCTGTTTTATTGTATCATTGAAAGCAAAACACTTGTTTAATGTGTTTTTGAAGTACCCTTTCAGCCTGTTTCATTCCTTTGAAAGCGAAACACTTGTTAAGCTCTTTCGCTGTAGTAAAACACTTCATTACTCTGCTTCATCGAAGTCAGAACACTTTGTTTTATTGTAACATTGAAAGCAAAACTCTTGTTCAGTATATTTTAAAGAGAAAGTTCCTTTCGCTGTAGCAAAACATCTCCTTACTCTGTTTCATCGATGTTAGAATACTTTGCTTTATTGCATCATTGAAAGCAAAACAATTGTTTAATGTGTTTTTGAAGTACCCTTTCAGCCTGTTTCATTCCTTTGAAGGCGAAACAGATGATACGCTCTTTCGCTGTAGCAAAACACTTCAGTACGCTGTTTTATCGAAGATAAAATGTTCTGTTTTATTGTATCATTGAAAGCAAAACACTTGTTTAATGTGTTTTTGAAGTACCCTTTCAGCCTGTTTCATTCCTTTGAAAGCGAAACACTTGTTAAGCTCTTTCGCTGTAGTAAAACACTTCAGTACGCTGTTTTATCGAAGACAAAATATTCTGTTTTATTGTATCATTGAAAGCAAAACACTTGTTTAATGTGTTTTTGAAGTACCCTTTCAGCCTGTTTCATTCCTTTGAAAGCGAAACACTTGTTAAGCTCTTTCGCTGTAGTAAAACACTTCATTACTCTGCTTCATCGAAGTCAGAACACTTCATTTTATTGTAACATTGAAAGCAAAACTCTTGTTCAGTATATTTTAAAGAGAAAGTTCCTTTCGCTGTAGCAAAACATCTCCTTACTCTGTTTCATCGATGTTAGAATACTTTGCTTTATTGTATCATTGAAAGCAAAACAATTGTTTAATGTGTTTTTGAAGTACCCTTTCAGCCTGTTTCATTCCTTTGAAGGCGAAACAGATGATACGCTCTTTCGCTGTAGCAAAACACTTCAGTACGCTGTTTTATCGAAGACAAAATGTTCTGTTTTATTGTATCATTGAAAGCAAAACACTTGTTTAATGTGTTTTTGAAGTACCCTTTCAGCCTGTTTCATTCCTTTGAAGGCGAAAGACATGATACGCTCTTTCGCTGTCGCAAAACACTTCATTACTCTGTTTCATCAAAGTCAGAACATTTTGTTTTATTGTAACATTGAAAGCAAAACACTTGTTTAATATCTTTTAAAGAGATAGTACCCTTTTAGCCTGTTCCATTCTTTCAACGGCGAAACACTTGTTAAGCTCTTTCGCTGTAGTAAAACATCTCATCACTCTGTTTCATCGAAGTCAGAACATTTTGTTTTATTCTAGCATTGAAAGCAAAACACTTGTTTAATGTGTTTTTGAAGTACCCTTTCAGCCTGTTTCATTCCTTTGAAAGCGAAACACTTGTTAAGCTCTTTCGCTGTAGTAAAACAATTCATTACTCTGTTTCATCGAAGTCAGCACACTTTGTTTTATTGTAGCATTGAAAGCAAAACACTTGTTTAATGTGTTTTTGAAGTACCCTTTCAGCCTGTTTCATTCCTTTGAAGGCGAAAGACATGATACGCTCTTTCGCTGTAGCAAAACACTTCAGTACGCTGTTTTATCGAAGACAAAATGTTCTGTTTTATTGTATCATTGAAAGCAAAACACTTGTTTAATGTGTTTTTGAAGTACCCTTTCAGCCTGTTTCATTCCTTTGAAAGCGAAACACTTGTTACGCTCTTTCGCTGTAGTAAAACACTTCATTACTCTGTTTCATCGAAGTCAGCACACTTTGTTTTATTGTAGCATTGAAAGCAAAACACTTGTTTAATGTGTTTTTGAAGTACCCTTTCAGCCTGTTTCATTCCTTTGAAAGCGAAACACTTGTTAAGCTCTTTCGCTGTAGTAAAACACTTCATTACTCTGTTTCATCGAAGTCAGCACACTTTGTTTTATTGTAGCATTGAAAGCAAAACACTTGTTTAATGTGTTTTTGAAGTACCCTTTCAGTCTGTTTCATTCCTTTGAAGGCGAAACACATGATACGCTCTTTCGCTGTAGCAAAACACTTCATTACTCTGCTTCATCGAAGTCAGAACACTTTGTTTTATTGTAACATTGAAAGCAAAACTCTTGTTCAGTATATTTTAAAGAGAAAGTTCCTTTCGCTGTAGCAAAACATCTCCTTACTCTGTTTCATCGATGTAAAAATACTTTGCTTTATTGTATCATTGAAAGCAAAACAATTGTTTAATGTGTTTTTGAAGTACCCTTTCAGCCTGTTTCATTCCTTTGAAGGCGAAAGACATGATACGCTCTTTCGCTGTAGCAAAACACTTCATTACTCTGTTTCATCAAAGTCAGAACATTTTGTTTTATTGTAACATTGAAAGCAAAACACTTGTTTAATATCTTTTAAAGAGATAGTACCCTTTTAGCCTGTTCCATTCTTTCAACGGCGAAACACTTGTTAAGCTCTTTCGCTGTAGTAAAACATCTCATCACTCTGTTTCATCGAAGTCAGAACATTTTGTTTTATTGTAGCATTGAAAGCAAAACACTTGTTTAATGTGTTTTTGAAGTACCCTTTCAGCCTGTTTCATTCCTTTGAAAGCGAAACACTTGTTAAGCTCTTTCGCTGTAGTAAAACACTTCATTACTCTGTTTCATCGAAGTCAGCACACTTTGTTTTATTGTAGCATTGAAAGCAAAACACTTGTTTAATGTGTTTTTGAAGTACCCTTTCAGCCTGTTTCATTCCTTTGAAAGCGAAACACTTGTTAAGCTCTTTCGCTGTAGTAAAACACTTCATTACTCTGTTTCATCGAAGTCAGCACACTTTGTTTTATTGTAGCATTGAAAGCAAAACACTTGTTTAATGTGTTTTTGAAGTACCCTTTCAGCCTGTTTCATTCCTTTGAAAGCGAAACACTTGTTACGCTCTTTCGCTGTAGTAAAACACTTCATTACTCTGTTTCATCGAAGTCAGCACACTTTGTTTTATTGTAGCATTGAAAGCAAAACACTTGTTTAATGTGTTTTTGAAGTACCCTTTCAGCCTGTTTCATTCCTTTGAAAGCGAAACACTTGTTAAGCTCTTTCGCTGTAGTAAAACACTTCATTACTCTGTTTCATCGAAGTCAGCACACTTTGTTTTATTGTAGCATTGAAAGCAAAACACTTGTTTAATGTGTTTTTGAAGTACCCTTTCAGCCTGTTTCATTCCTTTGAAGGCGAAAGACATGATAAGCTCTTTCGCTGTAGCAAAACACTTCATTACTCTGTTTCATCAAAGTCAGAACATTTTGTTTTATTGTAACATTGAAAGCAAAACACTTGTTTAATGTGTTTTTGAAGTACCCTTTCAGCCTGTTTCATTCCTTTGAAAGCGAAACACTTGTTAAGCTCTTTCGCTGTAGTAAAACACTTCATTACTCTGTTTCATCAAAGTCAGAACATTTTGTTTTATTGTAACATTGAAAGCAAAACACTTGTTTAATGTGTTTTTGAAGTACCCTTTCAGCCTGTTTTATTCCTTTGAAGGCGAAACACATGATACGCTCTTTCGCTGTAGCAAAACACTTCATTACTCTGTTTCATCGAAGTCAGAACACTTTGTTCGGCTGCTCAGATGAAAGCGAACAACTGATTTACGCTGTTTTATCAATGGCAAAGCCCTTCTCAATGAAAAAATCACTTCTTATATGTTTCTATGTTTCCAGTCATTTCTGTTGTGTTTTCTTTCACAAAAGAAACCTTTTAACTGTATTTTGTTTAAGATGATTAATTTAACTGGCAATTCTTCCTTTTTTCCAATTAACTTTTTTGATCAATTACTTGTAGATTTAAGAATAATTCGCGATTATTAAACTCTTGCTAGATGTAAGCCTCAGACCATTCTCGACCACCTAAGACTCCAACCTTAACCCCCCTCTCTCCCCCAAAACGTCATAAAACCCAACATTCCAGTTTTTGTAAGAAAAATCCCAATTACCTTCACATTTGAATCATGGAAGAGAACCAACTTCTTGTCTTTTGTCAAGACGACATCAAGCTCAAAGCCTTGTCCACCGAATTCTTGCACGCTCTTGAATCCCTCGATAGTGTTTTCCTGGCGATGTGAAGGGTTCCCCCTATGTCCAATAATGATCGGCTTGCACAGCTTGTGAAAAATGTGCCACTTTGGGATACCCTTGGCTACCTTTTGGAAGCACGAGTCTAGAGGAATGTCGGTCGATTCAGCAGGTATGGCTAGAGTCAGAAATAGCAGCATGACGCTACCTGGTGAAAGAAATAAAGATGATGTTTTCATCATTCGATTTGATGCAATCTAAACAAGATTTATGCGCAGCCTTAAAGCATTAAATGTTGCTCAAACAACCAAACTCCGCTGGAAAGATGACAGTTGTAAGTGGGACAACATTGGAGGACTTGAAAGCTCCAGTATTTCCTGGCTATCGTTGTTTCATTTTAACATCCTCTTTCAACATTATCGTCTTTATACTACTCCCCTTGCTGCAATTTATAAAATGTAGCTAAATTTATTATCATGAAACATCTCCCTCTCTAGGTGTCGTCCAATGAACCTGTTTCCTTCTTTCGTTCAGCTTTCCTGTCATTCCAATAAATTGCCCCCCCCTTGAAACCCCCCTCGAATAAGCCCCCACCCTAGAATTACAAATTGTCAATAACCCCCCCCCCCATCGGATTAGCCCCCATTGTACCATAAATTCTCGAATTGGACACCTCAATTTGATGATTTTTGCCATCTGAGGTTGCCTATGGCGTTTTATTGAATTACCACAACAAAATCATACTTTTGGTAGTAATTAATTAAATTCTCATAAAGAAATTCTTACTTAAATAAACGAGATATTTTAATAATGTCTTCTTAATGTCTACAATAATTTCATAAGCCCCCCTCGTAAAAGCCCCCCCCCCTCGAATAAGCCCCCATCGGACACTTGTACGCTGAGGAATGTCAGATAAAAACATCTCAGTATAGAGTCACAGCTCAACATAGAATTACCACTTTTCTGTGCTATCTTCGAAAACAAAATTACACATCTCTATAAGCGCTTTCTCGTGTTTGATGAATTGCCTGCTGTTACATTCTTAACTATTCGATACTGATATAGACGTCACATAGTAGTATCTGACGTAAGTATTATATGTCACTGCTTTTCCATGCTATCTTCAAAAACAAAATTACACAGCTCTCTATATACTTTCTCATGCATGATGTTATACCTCAAGCCTTACCACCATAATCTTACAAAAGCGAAGCTGGATGAATCTGTTTTCATTTTGCGTTCCCATTAATATTGTCGAGAACAGAGCCAGTTGATACAAAACCGCTGTCATTTGAAAAAGCTGTTCAAAGGGGGTCAATCGAAAACAGAGTCATTCGAAAACAGAGTCATTCGAAAGGAATAATTCGATAACGGAGTCATTTAAGAACAAATCTTTTTAATGAGGACAGTGAAAATGGAGTCGTTCTAAAACAGGGTCATTTATTATCAGTTTCGGATGTATCCCGTAGAAATTATATTAGAAAGGAAGAAAATTGAGAATTTTTCTTGTTGCATGCTTTTTTATCCGGGCAGTGGAGGACACTTCACTGTTTTCCGTGACTGCGCCCTTTATATTGTCGGAAAACATGGGCAACGCCCATTGATATTGCTTCATCAATGATATGATTCAAATTTATTCTTCTAAACAACTCTTCGTTCGATATTCCGAAATAACTAAAAATAATAAGAAACTCCACTAATAGAAGAGCATGATTCAAGCAGTTATTTGTTTGGGAAATTTATTGCCTGCGTGCAGACTCTAACCCTCCCGAAGGAGGTTAACGTCTGCACACAAGCTACGAAATGTACTATTGTTTCTGTCTAGTCAAAATGTTTCTGAAATTCGTTTTTGTTCCTTTTCTTACAAGTATCTACTTTTAAATCGCAATAGACAGTAGCACTTCAAACGCTTCCATTTCTGTCCTTTTATGTGCATTTAAAATGTATCCTATTCATACCTGAGTTAGGTACAGACAAGACGAAAATGAATAACGTTTGATAGGGGAGTTGTGTGAATGGGGCCTTATTCTAGACTAAAAACTTTTTTTATCAAGAGAATTTAGAAAAATAATACTATTCCTTAATGCAAAGGGGATTCAGCACTAGCTTAAGAGAACACACTTCCTAGAATCCTTAGACTTTCTAGAACCCATAGATTTTGTTTAAGAAACAGTTGCTTTAACAAAATGGCAGAATAATCTTCTTTTATGAAACTTGCAACCTCACGTAAAGGGTTAAAATTCGTGATGTTGCAATAGAGTAGACCCATTCTACCATCTTAGTAATTTAATATTGATGTTGTGATAAAGAATTCTGCTTTAAAATTGCATTATATCTGGCTATCTTTTACAATTCTTTTAGCACCAAAGCTGTTCCTTTTACTTTCAAATTATTGGGGTTGGTCGCCCCCCCCCTCGCCCCTTATTCTCTGCCACTGGAGCCACATTAAGGCAAATTTAGAACAACCAGTGCTTGTGGAAGACTTGGCTGTAAAGTATTTTATAGTGAATTATATAGAGTTTGCGAAAAACCGAATCATTACACGTTAGCCGAGAAGGTACATATTTGCCTTGGATTTGCTAAAGCAATTGGAACTTTTTACCAAGCGTGATTCAACTTTTCTAAAAGACTAGGCTAGACTAGGCTTGATACTATACCTATGTGTTACACGACACCCAGCCATTAGAGAAAGATCAGTTTTAAGTATTTCTTACCTTTTAAACAAAGTTTGAATAAGCTGAATGGCGAGTCCATGATTGTCTGCCTACCAGTTTGTTCTGATCCGCCAGCTTAGACCTGGTGTCTGATTTCAATGGTTCCACCCATCTCTATGATTCCACACTCAAGAGCTATCAAATTCAAGCAGTTTGTGCGTATGATTATCTGGAAAGGCACAAATGCAACCGTGACTGAGATAACAGGGCCTACAGATCTGCTTGGATTAGATAAAGAAGCCAGTCAGATTTGCAGTTCCACAAGGCTCAGTTATTGGTCAATTTTTTTCAGTGTTGTTGTCTGTTTGTTTGTTTTCATCCTTTGCAAAAAGGCCGTCCGTCTCCTCAGCGGATTGCTAATATAAACAATCTTGTTTGGACCATCCAATGTCGTCCCCGGTTGATTAGAATCACTATTTAAGGCTTGGCCAAACTGGGCAACATTGTTGCCCGACAATGTTGCTCCAAATTTTGTTAATTTTTTTGTCGCCGAAACATGGTGGCCAAACTGGGCAACATTGTCGTGCAGCATCTTTTGATGATGTTGTCAAAACAGCGCGTCAAATTTGATCTGATATGTGGTTTTCCGCGCCATATTTGATTTGAGCAAAAATTTGGGTAAGTATGGCAGATAGAAAGCAAGCTGCAGCTACTGGAAGCTGATTTTGACACCACAACACCTTTGTTGCATAGCACTCTATGGTCGAGCACGCGGGTAGCATTTGGCTGATTTGTTTTTTCAAAGAGCTTGCATTTGGACTTGTTTGAGACGAGACTTTTTATTCTTCCTAAACTATCCTTCCACTCCATGGTTTTCTTCCCATTCGGTACAATCAACTCGAAAGCTTAAATTTTGACAGGCCATTTTATTTGAATCGAGTAGAGCATACTGTTTTGCAATACGTCACTGTGCAAGTTGGTTTTTCAGATGGAAAATTAAGGTGAATTGTTGGCTGACAATGTGGCTAAACTGGACAGCATAGAGCTGAGCAACAAATGTTGCCGAAAAATGTTTCAGCATGTTCAAACATTCGAGCAACAAATTTCTTGATGAATTTGTCGGCCGACATGGTGGCCAAACTGGACAACATTTGAGCAACATTATGAATTTGTGAATGTTGCCCAACAATGTTGCCCAGTTTGGCCAAGGCTTTATTCATCCATGTCGACAGGTTTTTTCTCAAGTAAAAATGACAATTTATTCCATCGCTGGGACCCCTATGGTCGGTGTTTGGTTCCAGGGGGGAAAAACTGACTTAGATTTTTACCCCAGCAAATCAGACTGATACACCTGTCACACAATCAAATGACTATGTGAGAAGAAGAGAGGCAAGAAAAGGCGGGTAGAAGTATTTAAAGGTATATAGCAGAAAGTAGACGCAAACAGGAGGAACCGGGCTGGAAGGGGAAAGAATGAACTCAAAATGGCGTGACTCATGCTGCAAAATATGGCTTGACTCGAGCTGCATAACTGTACTTAAACAAATATGCTAGGGCAAGGCCTTGTAGGAAACAACATAAGGTAATTCGCAGATAGCTAATGTAAATTGGCATTTACAGCTTACTAAGGATATACGTGTGGACCACCCGATTCTAGAAAAAGGGAATCTGCGCACTTTCCCGCGGTTATTAACTCGTATTATGCGGTTAATTCCCATTAATAGAGGGAGACTGCCTTCAAAGAGGTTGAAAAAGATTCAAATGTAATCAATCTAACTGTTGAAGGTTCGTCTTACCTTTGACCTAATGAAGGTTGGTGGGTCGCCTTTTGCGAAAGTAATTCTTTTCTTATCTATATAACAATTTACAATTAAAAATATATTAATAACAAGAAGCCTTTCAAAAATCAATTTGCCGTTCTTCCAGGCGAGATTTGTTTAAGCTCTATAGATGCGTTTAAAGTTCATTTGTTAAACGATCTTGCACTGGTAGTTCGCTAAGGCCTGGTTCAAACGTCGCGCTTCTCATGTGCCGAACCTAACTCGAGAATTAAGTACATGAGGGGCGCGACGTTTGAATCAATTTGGTACGGCAGATTGAGTTAGGAGCGGCAGACTAGTTTGGATCGCCAACCTGTCTTGTACATCTATACAAGCAGACGCGATACGATTTGTTTTGTTTCGTATCAAGCTACTTCGTTCTCCTCGAGATGAGCACCTATCTGCTGGTCTCTTGCTATTAAATCTGAGATTTTAATACCAAAGCAGCGGGATTTGCGTTCCTAACAACATTGTCCGCTGCCCCTGTATTAAGTAAGCCCCGGATCCAGAACCTGATCACAGCTTTCTTTTCATTATTTTTACTACAAGCTCTTTAGTGCTCAAGGGCATTGCCCGGGAGCATATTATTCTCCAGATCCATATCAGTTACCTGTTCCTAACGTGAACGCTCCATGTCCCGCGTGGTATATTTAGATACCATAGATATCATTTAGAAATCAGATATCTTCAATATCATTGAGCACACTGCAAACTACCTTCCAGGCATGATAATGTTGCTGGTAAATCATATATCCATGTTTTTATGTTCTTGGTACGAACCTCCGAATAATGTGTTCTCTAACTTTCTCTGTGATGTACAGGTGGCAGATGGCCTTGCACTGGGTCACCTCATACTCTTACCCTTCACTATCATGATAAATGATTCCCGATGATAAATTATGTTATATTAATAACAATCTAGTCCCTCTTTCATAAGAAACCAACTATGGCATTTAGAACACCATGGGAAAGTAGAAATTTAACATGACTTGGTCTAAGTTGCTTTCGTTGGAGCACCGCCGCTTGAAACACAGGTGCAGGGGAATGGGCATCCGTTCGAGACACGGGTGCTTTTCTTGAAGTTCAGTGTAATGGCGGAGGAGCAGGGCCTAGCTGTGGGTTGCACGAAGCGCATATGCGTTAGACACAACTCATCAGCAAATTAAAAGCCTTCTTATTTCAATTTTTTAACTTTCTTGTCTTCTTATTTTACTTATAGGAACGATATTACGTTGCGAGAATTGCCGTGGTTCCTATCTTTATCCTTTGACTTTCCATCGTTGATGTTTGTTCCAGTCTTATTTAACGTGCAGTTAATTTCACAAGGGGCTTTGAGCTTTAACTAATTCGCTTGGGATTGTTATTATTTCTTATTCGTTATGGTCTCTTGTGCTACGCTTCCTCGCGTTTATCTTGTATCTGTTCTATTAGTTTATGGGCAATGCGGGGAATCTTTCGGCCTCCTGAGGATTTGCTTCGTGGCGTTTCATTCCCTTGGTTAATCTAGGGGTATTTGAGGTTTTGGCATAGCGTGGGTCTCCCCTTGCTTGGTGAAGCCACAATACAAGTATGCTGTTTATTTTGTTACGTGACGTCTCAGTGAGAGTTAGCTATCAGAACGAGTCAAAAAGGTATGTTTCGAGCTATTTTAGATCATGTTTTTGTGTTTTGGCAATTTCATCTGATATTGGTACGAATTGGAGCGTTCAGAATTCTTTCGTATAAAAGTTTTTGTCACCTCGTGTCTCGGCTTTCTCGGTGGACTACTTCGTTCATGATGTTAATCATTTCGCCATCAAAATGTCTTGGGTGGCAATTATTTACTGCTCTCTGGCAATACTGTTTTTATATTGCCAAAACGGAAAGATAACATTTAATTGTTTGCATTTTTATGACTCAGGCCTTGTCTTTTGCTGTTTAGTACAGTAGCGGAAATTCATTTTTCAAGTAGGGGTGGGGGGCAATGCCCAGCAAAGCAAGCAAACTTGCCAAGAAATGACTTAATTTTACCGACAAAACCGCAATTTAGCAAAAGCTAGGGGGCGGTTGCCCCCCACCACACCCCCGCAATTTCCGCCACTGGTTTAGTAGCCGTTATTCTTTCAACTGTTCCTCGCTATTAAGGTAAACACCTGGAGTTTTGTTTTTGGTATATTAATGCTTAGAAATTCCAATTTTTGCAATCTAAACAAAGTTTTAAAATTAAAGGCATTGAGTCATGGTAAATATTGGTTCTCCGTGGGGGGTTTGTCTGTTTCCATGTGATAAGTTTGTTTTCATGTGATCAGCGAAAGGAATTTTGCAATTTGGGTATACGCTTCCTTTTTACCATGACTCAATGCCTTTAAAGTGAATTCAAGTTGTAGCATCATTTATAGATTTACTAGCCCCCTACGACGCCCCCTAGGCGGCAGCCATTGGCCCTACGGTAGAATATTAAGATTAGAATATTAAGATGGAAGGCCTTAGTGCCATTAACCTCGATTCCAAAATGAGGAGAGGTCACGTGATAAAGAACTGCTTGCATTCCAATCCTGTGACTATCGCTACGAAGGGGGGGGGGGCCTTACAAATGAGGGGTTGAGGCTCCCCCCTTCCTAGCGTGCGATCGTCACAGGAGTCAAGGGGTCGCTAAAAATTTTTCTTTGGGTGTGTTAATGCTTTGGTTGCCGAGTAAAACATATTTTTTGAATTATAAAAAAATTACACGTGTAAAACCTTAAGTTTACTAGGGTTTTACAGGCTTGTGTTCGCAGATTCGGCAGTAAAAGAAAGTACAAAATTCAATAAGCGTGTTCTGATTTCTTGGCTCGACGGTTCTTATGGTTTCATCTCATTCAACAACGACTAAACGGGTCACTTCGGCAAAACTGGTATGCTTTAAACTTCTCGAAATAACAACGGCTATCCGAACATCTGAAATCACGTCTAAACCTTAACGACTAAATTAAACGACTGAATTACTCACAAAAGCCAACAAATATTTTACTCAACAGCAATTAAGATAATTAGGACAGTTACAGAACAAAACAGAACAAAGGAGCTGATCACAAGACAGGATGTTACATAGAAATTGTTCAAGGTGCGAACAAAAGTAAAGCACGCAAATGAAATTCAAACAGCAAACAAGCAAAAGTTTCCTTAACGAAATTCTGTCCTCTTACACACGTTAAAGATGTTATTATATAGTTACAGAGTTGAAGTTACTGAACTGTCAGAATGCAATGAAAAAGCAAGATTAATAGCGAGCAACATTTTTAACAAAAATACCAATATCTTATTTTGTCTATACTTCGTTTGTACTTTTAGCACAAAATGTTAATACGTCTTCTTTTTAATTATGCCCAATGTTTCACCACTTCCATCAAGTTTATTCTCATGCATAGTCATGCTCGCAAGAAATAATCATAAGCGATTCTAGGCCATCCTGAAGCAATGTGCTGCGGAGCTTTGTTTTAGCTAGCCTGCGTCACAGACCAAAATCTTCTCCGTGAAGCATACACTTCACGGAAGTTTTTGGTCTGTGGCGCAGGCTATGTTTTAGCAAGCATGAGCTTGCTGAATGATCTTTCGTTGCTGGCAACAGTGACAGGTGCGGTCAATAAAAATTTAAATACTGCAAAACATGATGGGAAATTGTATTCTTACTTGTTGAATAACCAGCTTCTTCTTTCACAGACATTTCTTTGATTGCTTTGCTCCCGCTCTGCTCTTCCCTTAAAACGCTAAGCTCTGCTAAGAGACTTGCGCTTCCAACACACCAATTCGACTTACGACCTCGTTTTGGAAATTTCTCCAAACTTAATTATACGACTTTTTTCAGCTCAGATTTGGTTTTATCGCCATAATTTAGGCGGGATACCATTTTTCATATTGTTTCAGCTTGTATTTTAGATTTTACGGAGAAATGAAGTTTGAAAACTTGTAAGGGATTTGACCGCAAAAATCGTTCCGGGGGAAACTTTACCCCCCTAGTCGCAAATCACGGTCAAATCCCTTATAAAGTTTTTATCTTTGTTTCGTCATAAAATCAATATCGTGAGCAATATGATAATGAAAACTTACAATTAGACTAAAATCATTGCTCTCAATCTGAATCTGAGGTCAACAATTTTATACAAAAAATTTTGAAGAATTTTTCTTATGAGGCCGTAAGTCAAATTGGTGTACTGCTCCAGATCCAGATAGTAACTTCTTCGGCTAATTCTTCGCTTAGGTTTTTCTCAAGGTGGCTTTAAAATTGAGAATGGCCTCATTTTTTCCATAACTTTGCTCCAGTTTTCTTTGCTGTCGTTGATAAGTTGATCCAAGACAGAAAAGGCTTCCTTTCTATAGAAGAGGTCAAATGACAGTATGGCTTCGCTATCTCGATTTTCCTCCAACCGTCTGGGCACAAGTCCTCTTCTGTGGAACCTCACATACTCGTCAAAATGATGGATGTGAAATTTCTATGCCATTGATGTGGCTGCTGCAGCTGATTTTGGATATCTTCCACATTTCGTATTTTTTCCAAGGCAGTTGTAGTGGAGGAAACCAGAGAAAGAGTAACATCTTGAAGCTGGACAATTAATACTTTGTATCTACGCATTATAAACCTCATGAAGCTCAAACTATAGATGAAATCAAATGGAAGGACTTTCTTTTTAAAGCTTTGGCCTGCTCGCTTGTTTCTTTGTTACAGTCAACTAGTTTCTCGGCAAATCGCTCGAGCAGACTAACGATAGCTTCCAACGATATCCAAACACTTTCAATCGATTCTGATCGAGCAACCCACCTCGTTTGCGAAAGGTTTCTCAATTTCAGCGATCCTTCTATTTCGCTAAACACAGAAAGGTTGGTACCGCTTGAGAAAAAAACATATAGACTTTGCAATACGTCGAACATGGATGTTACCAACTCGCTTGCTTTACAGCTAAGCTCTACAAATGTGTTCATTCTGTGAGCGTGGCAAGGGATATGTGGTACATCTTCCTTCTTGGGCAGTAGATCTTTAACTTTTTCATTTAAAATCGATTGACACCCTTTATAAATGCTCGAAATGAAAGATGCAAAGTCATAAGATTGGAAGTAAAGCTTGGAAATGTCCAAATTGCATTGATTCGAGGCTTCCAGGATTGCAGCAACGTGCCCTTCGCCAGTTTTGTCACTTGAAATATGCATTCACCTGATTTGATTTATTCTATTTTATTTGTTTATTTGTTTCTATCTAGCATCCGAAGGTAGTTTTAGGACACAGGGGAGCTATGCTTATCGAGAAGTGTCCTGGTCCTTCCTCTCGATATGACCACACCTCGTGATTCCTATGCCTGGAATTACAGAGAACTGACGACTCTCCCCACTCTGGGTGAAAGTTTGGTCATGTCAGGGACTCGAACCACGGGCCCTTGGGTCTGTAGTCAGCCAGGGGCGGATCCAGAGCAAATTTGAAGGAGGGGCAGTTGGTAGTGCGGGCGCTAAAAATGTTGACGAGTGTACGCTGTATACAACAATTTCAGACCCTAACTACTGACAGAAGGCTCCTTATTCACTTTACAAGGAAATCTTCACAGTAATTGTTGTATACTTTGAGGTAATCCTTGAAGCAAATTAACCTATAAATTTTGAAAAGGGCGCACAATTTACAAAAAAGGCGCGCCAGACTTACTTCAACTCGGTGAGGGAGGGGAAACTGCCCCTAGTTGCCCCCCCCTCAAATCCGCCACTGTAGTCAGTGACCCTAACCACTGAGCCATTCTCGCACCCATTGAGCCATCCATACATAAAGGTCGCTTCACGGATTTTTGATCAATAATCTGACAACAAGAGTGGGGAGAGGATTATTTTTTGACTGCAATCAAGACTCTCTGATACACTTTTTGAAGGGGGGCACTTTTCTTGTGATGGCACAAGAGAAGACATTAGCGAGTTCACACCACTCCCCCTGCCCCTTCTTTGCCCCCACTTAGGGGAAATTGACCAAGGGCCTTATCGATCAAGGGCCTTATCGACCAGGGGCCACTTAGGGGGCCTTATTGACTAGGGGCCTTATCGACCAGGGGCCCTATATGCCAAGGGAACTATCGAGAAAATTCCCTATCGGCCAAACTCCCTATAGGCCAAGGGTCCGTAGCATTATGCCCGATTACAAAAACCTTATATAGTTGAACACAATACCTTAAAATGACATTTATTTGCCATCTAACTCCTATATCAACGCACTTAAGGGTCACACCCTAATCAGCCCAGTTCATTATGTTAATAACACGAAATAGATTTTACCAAATAGCAATAAACTGTATATAACAATCAAAAGTTTTTTTCGGAAGCCGAAACCTATTCCCCAAGAGATTATTAAGAAATTCTTACTGCCCTAGATGCAGCTTGTTTCCAGGATTGCCGTTTGACGGTGATATTCCTTTTTGGGTTTTGAAAGCCTTTTGAAACTGACTCACAGGGATACGATAGACTGAAATTGGCCCCAGACTCCTTCCTGTATATACATATTTATCAAACACACCAAAGTTATTCTCTGAGTCAGTTGATCAGCAGTAACCTGGTGTGAGGTTGCCAAGGCAAGCAAAAGACTGCCAAAATGCATTTCGTCGCTGTTGCGCTTCTTCTTATCTGGCAAGGTAAGCAATAATGCAATCTTAGTATCAGCATTGCAAGTAGAAGATATATTTATGCCAAAAGATTTTCAATTATTTCGCGTTAGTTTTCAAAGGAGCATTGCAAGAGCTATATTTTTGTAAGGAAACAAAGTGGAAAAATTTCCGAAACTGTTCAATCAATTTCGTGCTTCAGACAGACAATGCGAGGAGGGGACTGGGGGCTATAGACCCCAAACTTTTTGCCACAAATGCAAAGCTCTACCAATGAATCACCAGACAAGTTATTTCTTGTTCGGTTTTAGCCCCCATCCCCCACCTTTTTAGAGCCTCCACTTTTCTCAACGCTCCGCGGTAACTGTAAGAGGGCTGTAGCAAAAGTGCATCCAATCGACACAATCCTGCTTTTCAACGCACGTATTAAATAGATCGTGTTATCCTCTTTGCGAAGGCGTTGTAAAATGCATCGTGGAGCATTTCCAACTTGATAAATTGTCCTGACCTAGAGGTTGACGATTGGTTTTCTAACCAGGTTGGAAAATTTGCTGGGTGCAAAAATATTTATATTTTTCTAGTAAAATCGAAAAATGCAGGGTGTCTGCACCATAATTTCAGAATCATTTCGCTACAAAGTACTTTGAGGACTCGTCAGTGGCAGGTGCAGACTACTGCCATTACCGCTTGAGAGGTAGTTAGATTACCAACAAAAATTGAAGTAAACCACAATTAATAATTGAAAAAGTTTGATCGCACTGCACGCCACGCATTCCTCTCTATAGACAAGCTTAAAATTGCTTTTCAAATGCTTCTCATTGCTTCCGTTGCTTCGATATTTACGGTTTTTCTCCCGGGTTCGAAAATTTCGATTTAAGCTCTCCGTGCTCTTTGTCCCGCGTTTCTAAAGGTTCTCTCTCTCTCTTTTCTCTTGCTCTCTACAAAAGATTTCAAAACTTCTTCCTCCTGCAACCGTTCAAATTCGACCGAGGCTTTTCAAATTCGTTTCGCTTTCCACAAAGGATTTATTGGATTTTAAGTTAGAGGAGAGAATAGCTAATAAATCTACGTGCACTGCTGCTTGGCTTTCCTTTTCGAACTCGAAGCGGTTTTCGACGGTCATGTCTTGTGCTACAGCTACATAGTGTAAAGGATAAGCAGAATAAATGCGCAAATTGTGATAAAAGCATAAAAAATTGTAGAAACATACAATTCGACATGCTGAAAAAGATGGGATCGGGACCCAGTCTGAGGAATGCTCTTAAGAGCTATTTTTAGAATGATTCATTTTTCCAAGATCCCTGAATTTATTGTCTCTTTAACTTTGTTGAAAATGAAATCAATGACATGAAAGTTTGTATAAATACTAATCATAACTCGGTAATGGATTTAGATTCACATCCATCAAGAAATTGCCCCCAAATGCTAGTTTCAGCTCATGTACTCGTTCCCAGAAGTCTAGCTCATTTAATTCTACAGCTCCGCTAAAAATAAAATCAATAGCAAGCAACTTGATTTAGATACTAATTATAGCACGCTAAAATGATTCGGATCGATAAGCATCTTCAAAATTCCCCCAAATACCATTTTTAGCCATGTACTCGTTCCCAGAACTCTAACACGATTATCTCTACAGTATTAGTATCTAGTAACTTGATTTAGATACTAATTATAGCACGCTAAAATGATTCTGATCGATAAGCATCTTCAAAATGCCCCCAGATGCTATTTTTAGGCCGTGTGCTCATTCCCAGACCTCTAACACGCTAATCTCTAGAACTTCGCTAAAAATGAAATAAATAGCAAGCAACTTGATTTAGATACTGTTTATAACACACTATAATGGACCCAAGGACCCCTTTCTAAAAATAGGTTGTGGGGCAATTTAAAAGATGTGATTGCTTTCATCGTTATGAGGATCTTTATCTCTATAATATTAGTAATTTTCGTATTTTGCTGCCGAGTACAACAGGAAAATAATCAGCACCTTTCTTGGAGGTCTGGGACCAAGAGCCCCATCTAAAAATAGAATTTCAATTTTTAGATATCCATATTATTTTGTTTACATGCCTGATTATACACTTCTACAACTTTTTATGCTTTTGATATGGAAGAATGATGAAAAATTGGTAGAATTTGTTGCAGAGGACTGGGTCCGATTGCCATCGGCTAAAAATAGCACTTTGGGGGTATTTTACAGTTGGGGTCCCGATCTCATTGTTCTCAGCATGTCAAAATCTATAGGTATGCCAACTTTCATGTTTTTTTCATTAAATGCACGATTGTTCTGGCTTTTTCCCTCACTAGTAATAATTTCAATTCTTTGGAGTTTAGATCTCAAAAAGTCATTTTTTCAAGATTTGACATACTTTTTGTTGTCTAAAAAGTATCCAGCTGATGTCTGAAGAAGCACCACGGACATCCACACACTATTACTTTTACTTTGCTTTGCTAAACATTTCATTTTCTTACACTTTCATTGAATCTCTAGCATTTAACAAGCTCCCCCCACCCCACCAACCTGTTAATAAAGCTTTATACTGTCTAACCTGAATATATTGTTAAAAGCAGATAACTGTAGAATTATTAAAAAATATATAAATTATTGTTTTTACATTCGAAAGGCGGTTACTTTTACGATTTTCCAGTCTGACACCGGTCACTATGTTATGGCGGACACTGGCGAATCACCAGCAAGTACTGCATAGGGTAGAAAAATCATCTTTAAATGTATCTAGATCCTGTTGTTGGTACCGGATTTCAATATATTTACTGTTTATTAGTCTATTGTATTAGTGTTGGGATCGATAGACTCGCGGTTTGGCGTGAAGAGCTGGACGGTCTTAACGTGTTACCTCTAACTGCAAGCTTATTGCCGTGGTGGAACTACTCCAAAAATAGAATTTCATAAAAGTGCTAGTTTCTCTTTTTTAGCTAATGCACAAGAATTTCCAGTCGACAAATGTTTCGACAAAGATGTTGTTTCCATTCCAAAAAGTCATATTTATCACAAAAAATGCAAGCCTATAGTGTTTGGCCATCGTGGAAATCCGAAAAAATTTCAAGAAAACACATTGGATGGATTTAAGAGTGTGCTGGAAGATGGCGCGGATGGATTCGAGGTTGACGTCTTCCTCTCCAAAGACAAGAAAGTTGTTTGCTTTCATGATGATAATGTTAAGGTATTTATATTGAAACATTTCAGTTCAGTTTGATATGAATTAACTTGTGCAAGCCAATTTTTCCTGCTACACCTTAACTAGTTCAGAGAATACTGCGTGTGCGTATCCTCAGTATACATGTTCTCCGATGAAAACTTCAAACATTGTTCAAAGTGGTTTAGGTATATGATGAAGAAAAAGGGGCAAAGCAGGAACTTTGGGGAATACCACAGGCTACCCCCTAAGGGCGTTCACCGTTGATTCTGCAAAATTGGTTTGGTTCAAAAGGGTGGAAACCAGTTGATCACCTCGTCTTGTAAACTATACCTAAAAAAATTTCGAATAATTGTATTTTGTGTTCCACTGTAATAAGAGCATTTTCTAGATTGACATTGTTGATAAATTGTTTCTACCTTGCTATTGAGTTGAATTAAAAATTAACTGTTTGGCTTCATTCTGTTGTTGATTTGAATGATAAATTCATTTCAATACTTGCCGCTATTTTTGTTTTGCTGTTTGAGAGACATATTCACGCTACCTTGGGGAAAACAATCATGTGCGTGTTGCCAATCAACGACGATCCCCCGAATCTTGAGAGCCCGACCCAAGGTTTTTGCCTCTGCTTCGCAGCCTCTACTGGGACTGGGAGCCAAACTCCGAAAAAGGGAACGGTAGCAAAAAGCAAACAGGGAAACCGAATTGAAAACAGTAGAGTCTGCCCGCAGACTAGCTTCTTGCTCTTAGGCGGTGTTTCATCACAATTGAATTCCTTTTACAGAGACTTACTGGGGTTAACCGAAATATTCAAGATATGAACGCTGCTGAAATCCAACAGCTGCGGTACAAAACAACAATTGCATATGGTAAGTATTTCGATACAGAAAAATTCAGTTTGGTGTTCTTTATCTGTCGTATCGTAGTGTCAAAACAATGACGTCATTACAATATATTTTTTCAACTTTTAAATGTTGACCCAATTCTTGCTAATGGATTACTAATGTTTTGGCCTGGTTGATACATTTAAGTACCAGGGCCAAGTAGCAGTGGTTTGATTGGGGGCAAAAACCTTTACTTATATGGTCTTATCTGGAACAGACCCATCTGACTTTCTCTGTTTAGTGGTAGTTCAAAGTAATCTTCCAGGCATGCAAAATATGTTTGCAAAATTTAAAAAATTCCTAAAATATGGTTTTATGACGTCATCAAATTGTCAGTCTAAGGCTGTATAATGTGATACTCTAGGTAAACATGGACCATAATGATAAGATCAAATCGCATGGTTGTACTTGTGACCATTGCAAGGAATACATATGCAACATTGGCTATCTATGAAGTATATTATGCGATGGTGTTTGAAATTAAAATAAAGAAAAAAAGAAAAAAACATTCATCCTAGATTGTGCAATAATCAGCCTACTCTTGCACAAAATGTTTGCACCCCTCTCACTACCCTCCCCTCCCTTCCCCTCCCCTCCCCTCCCTCCCTACCCTACCGCTCCCCTACCCTCCCTACCCTTCCCTCCACTCCCTCCCCTCCCCTCCCCAAAAAAGTCTATCAACAGTACAATGATAATTGTCTATGTTTTGAAATGCAGGCGCTCGGACCTACACTTACGACAAGCCAAGAAAAATTCCTTTCCTACAAGAAGTCTTGGCATGGGCAAGAAATACAGACTTGCTGGTTTTCATTGAAGTAAGCTTCAAAATTTTATATAAGTTTGATATACTAATGACCATATTTGAGATGTTTCAACGATATATTTAGTTTTGCTTTTTATTCCTGTCTTGACACTTACTTCTTGGTAAAAACATCTCCAATTTTAGTTCTAATTGATTCTTAAGAATATTCATAATGTTGACACCCCTCTGCCAAGTAAGCGCCCCGGACGGTTTTTTGGACATTTATTATGTAAGTGAATACGGAATGATTGATTGATTGATTGATTGATTGATTGATTGATTGATTGATTGATTGGTTGATTGATTGATTGATTGATTAATTGATTTTACGAATAGTTGTGATTGTGATGAACCTACCAGACGCAGTCGCAGTTTTTCCGCGCTCATCCTTCCCCAGTTCAAAAATTCACTGGGCAATGTCCAGTCGTTTTGCCACAACAAACATTTTCTGGATGTCCACACACCGAACAAAGTGAGCAATGTCCAGTGCATGCCAAATACAAATGTCAAGTCGTTTTACCGAGGCTTTACTAAGCGAATGTCCCAGTTATTAGCGAAAGCAAAACAATACATTCTTGGAAACGAACATGTTACCTTTGAAATTTAATTTCTAATCGGCCAAGACTGATTATTGCTTTTTAATATTTGCAGTTGAAGCCGGAGACATTGATTCACACTTCACCAGAAGATTTGCAGAGAGCAAAAGAACTTGCTGGACATGTTGCATATCTTGTCAATCACTTCCAAATGGAGAATCACATTTTTATTAATTCTTACGACATCACCAAATCACTGGTAGTGAAAAATGTAAGTTTATATTGACGCATTCATTACAAGCTTAAATCTATAGTTAGATTGTTTTGATTTGATTTGATTTATCATTCAAATGAAAATTATTTGAGTTTGTTCGGTGTACAGAGAAAGACTGTTCTCAATTCATCCTCTGGTTCATTAAGCGTGAAATTCAGTGCAGTAACTTTGGACCGTGCTGTCCTAAACAGCAGATAGTGCTCATGTAGCTGGAGCTTGGCCATTTTATTTCTGCATCTCTTCTCCGGTAATTCTGATTTTTCTGTTTACATTCACTTTCAGAAAATAACTCGTGTCAAAATACTTTAGATTGCACGTTCTTTATTGTTGTTTTGGTACATTTAGAATATCCTTAAAGAGTAATTGCTGCACCAAGAGAAATGGATTAAGGAAGGTGGGGGCGGGGGAACCTTTGTTCAAGGGGGCAATGCAATTTGCATTGTATTATATTTCATTCAATCAAGGTCAATATAATCCAACTGAATGTTAATAAGAATGTATTGGGTATAGTGTCAGTGTATTTTAACATTTATCTTTTGGGAATAGTACTAACAGAAAGAAGTACCACGAAATGGTGGCAAAAGAGAGCATTCTTTTAATGCAAAATTTCTGGGTAATAAGGGATCTAGAGCTAGACATTGTAACAGTGCCTATAAAAACTCAAACCCTACTAAATTATCTCCGTTTCATAACAGATTGATAATAGATTGGTCATTGGAAACTCGTATACTCCGGTATACTGGCATCAACCACCGCAAGTATACGCCGCATTGAAAGCTAGTTTGCAGCAACTGCCCGGCTTGCAGACCTGTTTAGCAGATATTCCTGCCACCGACAACCGGTTCGTTGACTTCTTCTACAAGTCCGGAACTGTGGAGAAAGCAATAAATGCAACATTTGTGAGCATTGATCAAATGATGTTCAACGATCCAACATATGGTGGGATTGATAAAACAGTTAAAACGATCAAAAAGAATTATGGAAAGAATGTGGTTATTGGTGCATACACAATTTACAATATGCACCTAAGCGAGGCTCAGATTGAGGCAGTCGAGGGCCGGTACAAGATGCTTTTGCGACAAGGCATTAACACCTTAAACACTGATGACATCGTGAGGTTGAGATGTCTTGGATACAGAACAGGTGGACGTCATAGGCGCTGCCTCAACAGACGATGTCGCTCATACCCCCATAGTCATCACCCACAGTGCAACTTCAATAGCTGCTTTGCCGAGGAGGACGCTGAATATGCGTCAATTTAACACTACTTTGATACATGTCTTTTACCCAATACAATTTAAGTATCACTGCGAAAACTGCACTGCATATGCACATTTCCTTCACATTATACACCGCTTAAAATATGTTAAATGATGTTAAAATATATGAACACTTAATAAATTGTCTCAACACTTTCGTCTCTTTACTTGATTTGCTTGAATTTGAATCTTATTAGCATTCTTTATGTTACACCGTTTGCGTTTATTGTGCATTGTCTAACTTGATCAATATTTGTTTGAATTTATTTATTTTATTTGTCACCATTTCTCACGTTGGTTCATATTTCGAATCCTACAAATCATCAATGAATTGCTCTGCGTAGCATATATCTAGATACATCTATGATTTCAATCATATATAATATCTAATAAAAGTTTTATCTTGGCACTTACATTAAAAATGGCTTTGAAAATAGGTAGGTTTGAAAATATGAAAATAGGTTTGAAAACAATTAAAACATACTCAAACTTTCAATCTGACACCAAATAATCTTCTAAAATAGCCCAAAAACATACCTGGCTAATCAGTAGAGAAATGCATACCTGGCGTGTGTGTGTGTGTGTGTGTGTAATCTTATTTTAATTCTATAATTTTAACATATAGCTAATAATATATACATCATTTAAATATATACAAGTTAACTAATCAAAATCGAATATACAGAACAAATAAATGAAATTAATATTTTCTAAATAATACAATTAAGTTGGTAGGCAAGCACAAGCACTACATTTGCAGTTGGGACCGTCCCATTTTTTTGTTAAAACATTAAAACTTTTCAGATTTTCTGCCGATTTTAGTTCATTCGGTAGGCCATTCCAAATCTGTGGCCCAATAGACTTGAGACTCTTGGACCCGAAAGTTGTTTGATTAGGCCTAAAATGTGCTAAATTATTTGGATTTCTTGAAGAATAAATTGAAGAACGTAATTCAAAAATGCTCTGCATAAATGGTGGATTCAAATGATTCAGTGTTTAAAATATTTCAATGCAAAGGAGTCTTTGGCGGGCAACATGCATCGTGCATTTACTCGATCTCGAAAGCAAATCATTATACGAACTCGTATGATCATTATAAAGAAATCTTAGAGCACGTTCTTGAAATTTTTCTATTTTCTGGAATGATTTGGAAGATGAGAAATACCAAACCAAAGGACAATAGTCAAAATTAGAATATACGAAACTCTGAACAAGGATCTTCTTCTCCTGAAAGCCAATGAATGTCTTTAATCTTTTGAGAACATTTAATTGCGTTGCAGCCTTTTTGCAAAGATTCGAAACATGTGGGTCGAAATCAAGTCTATAATCCAAAGTGACTTCTAAAAGTTTCACAGTCTCCTCAGATTTTATTATTTTACCGTCAATGTTAATTTGTTCTCCACTAGTATTTGTTTGGTTTTTTCTAAGCAGTAAAGCATGGAATTTGTCAGGATTAGCAATCATTTCATTTTGTTCTAGCCAAGCTAGAGCAACTCCAGATTCTTTTTCCAAAATATTGATAAGATCGGGCATACTTTTAGAGAAATAAGCAAGAGTATTGTCGTCAGCATAGTTATAGAGAGTTGCCTGTTCTATGAAAAGAAACAAATCTTTTTTATTAAAGTTAAACAGGATTGGGCCCAGCACAGATCCTTGGGGTACACCAGAAATAACCTCTAGGAAGGAACTGTAAGTATTATTTATCCGAACGCATAAATAATGGCGATTCATCTAACTCTCATTGAGCCGTCACGTAACAAAATAAACAGCATACTTGTATTGAGGCTTCACCAAGCAAGGTGAGACCCATTTAGTGCCAAAGTCTAAAATACCCCAAATAAACAAGAGGAATGAGAACGCCACGAAACATACACCTCACCCTAGTTTTACAGATCAAATCCTAAGGAAGCCGAAAGACCTTTCTTTCTAAAACAATCCTTATCCTACAAAGTATCACCCTTTTTTCAAGGGCTCGTTTGAATGAGAAGAACTGGCAATGCTATATCAAGCCAAAAATCTTTAAAAGATCATTAATGTTGAGCAGAGTTGACATACTGAGACTTTATGTTAACACTAAAACAAATATAATTTATTTTTTGCACAACATCCCATTTACAGTATGGACCATCCCACCTCCATTATCGATTATTAACTGCCAAATGCCCATTTCGGTTTATTTTTAATGCAATTTTGCCTGAAATGTAGATATTAGCTCCAGATTTGTGAGCTAGGCTGTGAAAGCCAAAAGTTACTTGATACCTAGATTCCTTAAAACATCAATATTCCTCATAAATTGCATTTCCGTTAGTAAAGTGAAATTTCTCAATTGATATATAAATGTTTATTAATTATGTAGTATAACCAACACATATAATTTAAAGAGCATTCATCATTACTAAACTGCAAATAAAGACACAGAGCTAAAATGTGGCAGAGATACGTAGTTTAGTGTGCTGAAAACGAAATGGGTCAGACCCCAACTTAAATTTGCCCCTGAATGCTATTTTTAGACTGGGGTACTCGAACCCAGTCCATTTGAGGAGCATTCATCATAACTCAGCTCCAAATTAAGATGTAGAGCTAAATTTTGGTAGAGATACGTAGTTTAGTGTGCTGAAAACGATAAGGGTCAGACCCCAACTCAAATTTGCCCCTGAATGCTATTATTAGACTGGGGTACTCGGATCCAGTCCATTTGAGGAGCATTCATCATAACTCAGCTCGAAATTAAGATGTAGAGGTAAAATGTGGTAGAGATACGTAGTTTTGTTTGCTGAAAACGATAAGGGTCAGACCCCAACTCAAATTTGCCCCTGAATGCTATTTTTAAAATGGGGTACTCGGACCCAATCCCTTTAAGGAGCATTCAACATAACTCAACTGCAAATTATGGTACAGAGCTAAATTTTGGTAGAGATACGTAGTTTAATGTGCTGAAAACGATAAGGGTCAGACCCCAACTCAAATTTGCCCCTGAAGGCTTCTTTTAGACTGGGGTTCTCGGATCCAGTCCATTTATGAACAATCCGTTTTAACACCACTTAAAATTAGAATAAAGAACTAAACTTTGATGAAGATACGTGATTTAATTCGCTAAAAAGATAAGATACAGACCCCAACACAATTTGCTCCCAAAATTTATTTTTAGACTACGGTACTTAGACCCAGTCCTCTAAAGGTTTATACGACAATCCTACTTAAGATAGCGATAAAGTGACTTTTTACAGGTACGTACTATCACTGCCAAAATTACTTGGAACACCTAACACTTTGCACTGTGCTTTTCTATTTTTCATTTGTTTTCTTGAATACTACCACTTCCGCCCCCCTTTCCCCCCAAAACAATGTTGAAAGTATAGAAGAATATCAAACAATCCACAAGAAAAAGCGTACTCCATAACCCCTTTCTATTTTCTATAGTATATCAACATTGTTCCTAGGGGGAGAGGGGGATGGCTGAATTTGCCTTTGAAAACCTACGTTAGTGTTCCAAGACTTTTGGCAGTGATTATAGTTTGATGCGCTAATTAAGTTAAGAAACAGACCCTGACTCGGATTTGCCCGCAAATGCTATTTTTGGACTGGGGTTCTTGGACTCTGTCCAGTCGTCACTTCATTTTACGGTTCAGTGACAAGGAGCTATATTTAAAATTGCAAGAAATAAAAAACAACCTGATCATAAAGGGGATATCAGATCATTATTATAAATGAACAATGCGAAAAGGTAGTGATACACCAAATGTACTGATACAGGCCCTTTCATCCGGGCACACTACCTCAACAACAAACTGGATCCCGGATTTCTGTCAGTACGATGCTGTGGGACAACGCCCAGTGCATTAATGCTGCTGTTGATTTTTTGCATCATTTTTTCTTAGTTTTGTGACAAGCTGAGCTTGTCTTTTGTATGGTTTAAACAAATCTTCTAGATCGTGCATCTTAATTAAAAATATCAGGCAGCGCCTATATGAAAGAAAACGGTCTTGGGCATTAAATTATTTAGTACTGAAAATTTTATAAGCCCTTTGAAATGTACTTTGCTGTTCATGCCATCCTAAGAAAAATTTCAGAAACTTTTATATCAAGCTGCCAAACCGTTTACCTTAAATACCGTTGTCGTAAAAAGTGCTTTGTAATGATTGATATACGTTTCTTAACCTGACCTGCGCATAAAACTGCGCATCTGTGAAAAATACCAAATCATTATTGCTATTTGTAGTAGAGGTGTAAAGGGATACCCCTGTATGGGACTGGGTCTAAGTACTTTTAGCCCAAAAATAACATTTTGGGACATTTTCGAGTTAGAGTTTGCTTCCTCTACATATTTAGCACATCAACCTACCTACATGTAACCAATTCAATCGTTGTCTGTAGTAGAGTTTTTATTTAAACCTTAATGGGTCTGGCTCCATGTATCTCAGTCTAAAAATAGCTTTTGGAGGCAAATTTGTGTTGTGATCTGGGCCTTATCTTTTTCAGCAAATTAAATTACGTATCTTCAGCAAAATTTAGTTCTTTTTACTAATTTTCAATGGTGTTATGACGGAGTGATCTTAAATAGACTCTGAGTACCTCTGTCTAAAAATAGCAATAAGGGCAAATTAGAGTTAGGGCCTGTCCCTTATCTTTTTCAGCGCATCAAACTGGGTAGGTGTGTGAAGTTTCATGCTGGTATGATGATTTGCATGATCAATATTGTTAAAGCCCCCACTATGGCCTTTAGCATAAGAGAGTTTAAACGATATGGTTTAATGTATTTCTATGGTCTTTAAACGATAACCAGCCATTGTCGTTTGCAATGGAGTACCGAAGTGTGACGTCATCAAAAATATATTTTTAGATTTTCTGAATTTTGACCACATAATCCAAAAGAATGAAACAAAATACCCCTAAATATGCAAAATCAGGCAGATATGTTTAAAATTGGGCGAGATATGGCCAATGAAAGACTTAAAATTTGCCAACGGATTACTGTTATTGTGGCCTGGTTCATAAAGTTATGAACCAAAACCAAATTGCAGAGGTTTGATGGGGAAAGAGGCTATGCTTATGTGGCCATATCTCAGCTAATTTGTAACATATTAAACTGATTTTGCACATTTAGAATTATTTTAAAATGCTCTTTTGAGATATATAGTCAAAATTGGAAAATTCTTAAAATAGTGTTTTGTGACGTCAAACTTCGGTACTCTCGCCAATTTCATCTTTAGC